TAAACAAGGCAAGCAAGTTAGGCAGAAGGCAGAGATTTGGAAAATATGGCCAATCTCTGTCATTCCCTCTGACAACCTTAAATTTTCACCAAATGCTTGTCTCTCCCACTTTTCTGGATCTAGAAGAGAAATCTGCACTGTTATAGAAGATTGGCCTCATGAAAATCATATCTTGTTTGTTGACCATCATAAATACAGTACTGCTGTTCTGATTCCGTAACCATCTTTCATCTTCAAGGTTTGGTCCCACTATTTTTCCATTGCCAGAAAAGAAAACAAATCAAGTTTCTGTTTAATCTGGGGTTTAAGTCTGGTTTTTTCATGGAGAGCTCTACAGTGTTGTTGTTTATAGGAAATGATTAGTTCTCTCTAGATATAGGTCTGAATGTGATAGAGAACTCTACAACATTCATTTTCTCTACACAATATTTTGTTTTTTCTGTTCTGGGAAATGACAGAACCGAAGAAAAAGAAGATAGGGAACAATGAGAGGAAGATAAAGCTTTTGTGATGCTGAGATAGCTGTCTATCACAGTCTTTTCTGGGTCTAGCAAACTCGTTTTTCTACTTTCTCGATCTTGCATATATAATCTTTTTCTCTTATATATTCATATTAATATTCAATGAATCTTCCTTAGAAGTGTCGTCCAAATCTCTGTTGTTAAAGTTTTAATTTTCAGACTCACTGCTGGGCCACGCTGGTAAAATCCTTCTTCCTGGATACAAATAAGGAAAGAACAGTAATATTGAAGGGGAATAACATTTTTTTTTCTAAAAACAATAAAAAGATATATATATATATATATATATATATATATATATATCGAAAAAAATAAATTAAACTAAATTTTAGTTTATCTGTATTTTTAGTTTATAAAATTTCAAAAGATATTTAAAATTTTTAACTAAAAATTACTTTAATCTCTCAAAATTAAATAAAATATAATTTTAATTCTTAAATATTAACATCGGAAGAGTGGAAATAGTTTTAAGAATATTATTTAGTATTTTTAAATTTATTGTTTAAAAATTAAAATTATATTTTTCAATTTTAATAGATAAAAGAACTTTGAGACTAAAGTAAGAAACATTCTAGTATAATTAAATTTAAAAATTTTATTTTCTTATAATTGTACATATCAAATTTATTAGAATTAAATAAAAAACAACAAGATGATTAAATAATTTATATTTTAATATATTTTGAAAATATACATCATGCTACTTTTAATTTAATCGATTTTATTTTTATAAATAAAGTATAAAATATGTTTAAATTAATATTAAATTTTATCTGTTTATAATTTAAATTAATATTTTATTTGTAGTGTATTATATCAATTTGAAATTATATAAATGATGTATCAAATAATTTAATAAAATATCAAATATCTAAATTTAATATTAAAATACATATAATTTATTTAAAATAATTTAATATGATAACTTTAGAAAAATTATGATCAATCGATAGATACTTAAGAATCTAATATTTAGTAAAATATTGGTGTAATTATATATATATATATATATATATATATATATATATATATATATATATGTATGTATGTATGTATAAACAGAGACTTGCAATTTTATCCAAGTTTTATTAGTAATTTATTTAAAATGATTTGAAATTCTATTTTTTTTAAATGTAACTTTTTTTATTAATTAATTAAAATTTTCTAATAAATTTGTTTGTTTAACTTATATAAAAAAAAAAAACAAATACTGTGATGATTTTGCAAGTGAATATAATGAGCACCACATAAATGTTCATTAATTTTGTAAATATACCAAGTATCACTTTTGCTTTAACATATCTGTGTAGTTTTTTTATCAATAATTTTCTTTTTAAACAATCAAATTAGTATAGTTATTAACCAAAAATATTAAATGGTGTAATTTTTGTATGAAATAGTAGTTTCATTAAAAAAGAAATATTTGTTTAGTGTTAACTATGTCTTAAATAAAAAAATTTAAAGAAAATAATTAAAAAAATAATCATAAATTAATCCTAAAATTTTAATAATTAAATTTCATTAAAATTCTAATGAATTTCACCTGCTATTACCTTCACTCATGTATTAATATCCTACCATATATATATTGTATTTTTATTTATCTTTATATATATAATATATAATATTTTTATTTTTATTACATTATTATCTTTAATTTATTATTTTAACATTTTTTATGATATAATTGAGATATGAGTTTATATTTTTTAGAAGATAATAGTAATAGTAGTTGTACCCTACGAGAATAGTTAGGGCAACAAGTAGATGAAGAAAATGACTGAAAGAGGTCCCACGAAAACGTTCCAGAAAAAGACCACATAAGCACGCTACCATTACAAACCATTCATTCCATTCCACACAGGTGCGACCCACCCAAATCAAACACCAACCATTACTTTTTTTTCATGTATTATTCTTATAACCATCTTATTTTTGTCTTTATATTTATTACATGAATTCAATATATTAAATATTATAATTATATGTTTTTTTATTTTACCATTAATATATCATTTCAATGTATTGTTAAAAAATCTAAAATAAAATTTCATTATTATAGTACTATTGCAAGATAAAAGTGTAATTATAAATTTTGTATTCAACATATTTTTCTTATATATTCATCAAACTTTGACATGTAAATTCAAATATTAGAAGTAACTGTATATGTTTATTTTTCCTTTTCTCTTTTAAGTTTTAAATTAAATTTTATTTTTAATTATGCCATTGATATTTTTAGTTAATTGTGTACTTTTCTTTTAAGTACAATTCACATATGCATGCTGGGGCCGAATTGAGGTTAATCAAACTATGTAAGAATGATGTCATGCTATTTTTTTTTCCTGAATTTAATTTATGTAAATTATTGCATATATTGTGATTGTTAAGGTTCTTTATAATGTGCCATAATTGTGAATTGTATTTCTATTAAATTTGTTATTTTTTAATATAAATATTTTAAAATTCAGTTAATATAACAATTGATGAAAGATGTCATGTTATTTTTTTATTTCTTGATGGTGAATAAACTGAAACTCGTTTAACTTATAACTTTTGGTACATAACGTTCTTAATTGTAATATTTTTTATATTTTCAATTAATAAATAATTAATTTCAAGTATAAGTTTAAATAATTATTACAAAGGTAAATAAATTTATCATGATAGTCAAAATTCAATACGAATGTTCGAAAATCTGCATATGCATATGCATTCAATTTAAATTATTTTATTGTGATCATTTCATTCATTTAATTTATACACATTCTTGAGGCAAAGTATATTTAATAGACATTAAATAAAATTTATTGTCTTGTATTGGATGAGAGGATGAAAAAAAGAGAAAAAAAAAGAGAATGTGACGAAAAAGTAAGAAAATGAAAATACCAGTGTTCTTCGTATAAACAAGTGATACATAATAATATATATTGAGATTAGTGTTTACAATATTAAAGATTTTAAAGGTATAATTATTTATCTTACTGATACTAGATAATTTAATGATTTAAAATTGTTTTTTTTTTTAAGAATAAAACATTTCTTTATAGAAGAATAAATAATTTATCATTCTTTTCAGGCAAACATATATCCATATGCAATCAATTCCTAATACTTCTAGGTTACAACACATGCAACATTTAAGAAGTTCATCAAATGATAAAAAGTATTAAATTTTATATTTTATTTATTTATTTATTTATGTTTTAATCAATGTAATATTTAAAAATTAAATAAGAAATATAATATCATTTTATTAAAATATGATTGTCTGTTCTAAAATTAGAAGGGAGAGATAAGTATCATTTAGTATGATTCTAGAATGAGAAAGTGTACCTTTTTCCAATATTCCTTAATATAATATAATATAATAATAAGTTATCTTTATTAATATATATATTAACCATTTATAAAAATCAAATTATTTTTTATTTTGTGGATATAAAAAACAGAGGAAAAATAAGAAATTTGTAAAACTTAAATTAAAAAAAAAGAGTATTTTGCAGCGTTCTCTCGTAATCAGACAAAACGTGGAAGGAAATTGACAAAGACTTTCTTCGACATTGTTATAACTTACAAATATAATAATTAATAAATAAATTTGATAAACTTAATCCTTTTAAGATTGATTTCAATGATAAAAGAATTATTATAAAATAATTTTATGTTTTTTACGTCATAAATATAAATTCTTACAAATGTAAAATATCTCTCTATATTATATACTTTAGTTGACATAAAAAAGAATAAAGAAAAAGTTGGGAAAATACTGAGATGAAACAGATTAGTACAAATGGCTAGACATCAGATCACATCAGTGGTCATATTATATCTGTACGGAGAAAAAATCTAAAAAAATAAATAAAAAAACTTACAAATGAAAAAAAAATACTTTTTTTGGTAAAAAATATAAAACGGTCATTTACATCTAAATTCCAAAGTGAGCAATAGCAGCCATAAATTGGAAAAAACACAAACTTCTCGGATATTTATTTGGTTCTCGGAATCATATATCAGAGTTTTTCCATTAACTCATCGTAACATCATCCATTACCTTCTCTTTCACTTCCCGCAACAACTTTCTCTAACAATCCTAATCACCCATTTCTGGTAATACATCAAGGTAAGGCTTCATGTTCCTCTTTACTGTTCAAACTCAAACGCACACCTTTGTTTTCTCTCAGATTCCTTCTAAATTAACACCTCTTTCTTTCTGCTATTTCAATGAACTTTTTGTTTCTTTTCCCTTCCCTTTTGCATATTTGCTGTTTGTTCTAGGAAGATCTATGATGATATATATAATATTGTTCTCTGTCAAACCAAAACCCCCATGTGCCGTACATGCATTTCACCCTGATCTGTTGAGTCTGTGACAGTTGTGTCTGTGGAAAAGGTGTGTCTTGAATGCATATGTGAGTGTGTTATTGGGTTAGAATTTGAATGATTATGATGAAATTGAGTGAGATGTGTGTGTATAGAATGGCGAGAAAGAAGATACCGATCAAGAAGATCGACAACATAAACGCTAGGCAGGTAACATTCTCAAAGAGGAGAAAAGGTCTTTTCAAGAAGGCTCAGGAACTGTCAACTCTCTGTGATGCTGAGATTGCTCTCATAGTCTTTTCCGCCACTAACAAGCTCTTCGAGTACGCTAGTTCAAGGTATATCTTTTTCCGTACCATTTTCTTCTCCCTTTTTTCTTTTACCATTTTCTGTTCTATTTTATGTAAGCATGTGCATGTGTGCAACCCCTTGAAATGTCCTTTCTCATCATCTTTTTCTTCTCCATTTTCATGCTCCTTTTCCTTACTTTTATTCATGGAGATTCGTATGTTTGATCCGTAGAAAATACCACGGTTTTATAACTCTGTTTGCAAGTGTAATATTCACCACAGCGTGCAAATATTTAGAGTCTGCACATCTGCACCGTGACCATAATAATAGAAGAATATGCACATATTTTCAATTTCATAAAATGTGACAAAAATTTAATCTTGAATAATGCGAATTGTGATCAATTTAATTATAATATTTTTAACAGTTTAAATTTTTTATACTATAATTTAATTATAAATTATTGTATATAACATGATGTTGATTGTTATAATAGTTCTCTATTGTATTAACAAAACGCGTTCTTTACAATCTTTTCCTTAAAACCATTTATTTTTTGTCTCAACAGATTCTCCACAATCATGTAACTTTCGTTCCATTATACTGTATACCTAACTTCAGGCATATATGTGTAGTATATATATTAACACTTATTTATTTGTTTCAATTTATGTTGTTATGTTCTTAATACTACATATTCAACTTTCTAGTATACTTAAAACTTGCTTGTTAAAATTTAATATTTCTAAATTTAAATGATGAAAAAGAAGAAGTGAAAATAAAAAGTTTTACATGCTATATAAATGTTTTCCCATATTCTCATAAAATACAACAAAATATGAAATTGCGATTTTAATTTCATGAGAATCTATAGTATCTGAACAATATTTCTTTTTATCTGAAATTTATCAAATATAAAAATCTGAGATTTTTAAGTTCATTTTCCCAAGAATAACTTCACAACAAAAACAATCTAAGTTACTTTGTAAAGGATTAAATTCTTGCTCCGTAACAATGATCAAAAGTCAATGCCAATATTATAACAAGATTAAAAGAATAAATATATATGAAATGATATGATTTCCTTTCATAAAATTGATCATTACAAGAACTTTTGACACGATATGTTAACAAGTAGCAACATAAGAAATATGATCAACGCATGTACAATTTTATAAAAGGTTGAAATTTCATCAAGTATATGCGTTATTTCAATTAAGGATGGGCATAATTATAAATTACAACTAAATGAAAACTATTTCAGTAAAAAAGATAATTAAAGGACTAAATGTTCTATTCCTATAAACACCTAAATTATGCTAATCAATTACAGTTCTAGTCCACGCTCGATTTTTCACTATGAATTTTTTTTTTTTTTTGCTTAGAACATTTAGAAAAAATCACAATAATTATGAAATAACCTATAATTGGATAGAAATAATACTCATTTTTTAATTCCCTTTATTAACTTTTTCCCAATGTCTTAATTAACATTTTTTTCTCTCTAATTTTCTCTGCATAGCATCATCAGTACCTTGCTTCATAATCGCCTTTAATAATAAAATATTTTATATATTTTGTAAAATAATAGTATGATTGTATGTATAATACTATATCAGAAATATCAATGAACTTTATTATTTAAATTATTCAGGATATATTTTTTTAGCTTCTACAATTCAACTCTTATCTTACTCATTGGAATGAAAGAATTAGTAGATAGGATCAATTCTTAGTAGATATGATCAATCCAAAATAAAAATGGGATAGATTATGAACTTAGAATAAAAATAAATAAATATCCGATGATGAGTCGATTCCATAATTATCCAATTCTTTCTACAATCTTTTGAACTGAATGGAGAAATATATTACAGAATGCAGTTCTTGTTTGAAAGCCAATAATTCTTGTTGTAACTCAATTTCCCAACGTTCTTTTAAATCCTTACAAACATCTGCTACTATTTCTGTATACATGTTTTTCTAACCCAGTGTTCTCTTCTTGTATCTTTCCCACCAATGATAGTTTGAAACATTCCAAGTTTGGATTCTCCCAATTCAGATAGTTTTCAATTTAGACGCAGAAAATAGGGTTTATGCAATAGTTCAACCATCGGAACATTACAAGAAAGCTAAAAATTTGAGCTATAATATCATATATATGATGAAACAGACAAGGAATCAGAAGGGAAATTAAGGATATTATCTGAGAGAGAATGGACAAGAATTGAAGAAATTTAATTGAAACATTTGAACTTGGTAAACTATGTGAGTAAAGAATCTATGTACATAACAGACATAACAGCTAATAACCTCCAAATAGTTTCTTCCACCTCCACCATCTGTCGTCTTGAATCATTTTCATCATTTGACAATATCTTGCTTCAAATGTTCTTACAGAATGTTGCAAATATTACTTTCACTGATAAACTATCCTAATAAGCTTATTTTAATTGCTTCCCTCTGCCATAAAAATACCTCTCCTGATTTATAATCTTTTATCCCTTCAAGAATATTATCTATGCAAGAACAACAATCAGGTAATGTTTTCCCACAGTAAAGTCGGATACAGAACTATGTCAATTTGTTTTAATAAACCCACCAGGAATATGGTTTGTTTTGTCCCAATAAATCTGTAGGGTTTTCAAAACTAAATCAATGCAGAAAAACAATTGAAAACTAATAAAAAAAAAAAAACAAATACTATCAAAACTGATTTTTTTTTTTAATTTTTTGAACCATTTTTTTAATAATTTTATTGTATTGTATTTATAATATATTTATATTTATCAAAGCATTATAATAAATTATATTGTACTTTTCAATGTAAGATTATGTAATTTATTTATAAATATAAGAGAAAATTCAAATTATGAATTTGACAGCAACAGTATCAAAATTCATAACATGTTTTTTTTATTATACAATTTATTATTATAAAACATTTAGTGATTTGATATTAATAGAAATCGTAAAAATATTTAAACTTAATAATAATATTGATTTACTTTAATTGAAATTTTATATTAAATCAAAATTAATCAAAACCTAATCACATTTATTCTTTGTTTTATGTTTGGTTTATGTGATTCTCTTCTCTAATAAAGAAGTCCAAACTGAGCAACCAACACCCCTATATTCTAGGAAAATTTTACATAGGCATGTGTCAAAAGTTTGAATCTAGGAAGACTTTACTTAACTACAAGATTTTGAGCTAAGGATTAATCTTGAAGTTTTGCCCGTGAGAATTTCCTGTTAAAAAGAGTCCTTTTTTTTTAATGGTTTCTCTTGAAGTTATATTTGGTCTTCTGGTCTTTTAAATTGGAACATTTCCCATTTATTGATTCCATTTCTTGACCATTTTTCTTCTCCATACATAAACAAGCTATTTGATTCCGAAGCCTTTTAGTTAGGCTTTAGAATTTACTCAATTTTCTCAACATATCACAGGGGCTATATGCATTTATTAGCTTGTAAATGCACCTAGCACTAGGGTTATGACCTTAGTACAAACCTCTTAATATGAATTTAAGTACTTAGGTTAGTCCTCAACTTTTATTATAACTACTTGATGTGATACAATTAAATAAAAACTAATCATAAAACGATAATATAAAAGTTCTTGATTTCATGAGCCTCTTGAGTTTGCACAAAGGAAAATGGAAGGGAATGTTTTGAATTTAATTCCAATGTCCTTGTCATTCTCAGCATGCAACAAATACTTGAAAGGCATTCGCGGCATTCAGGTGCTCAAGGATTAGACATTTCATCTATTGGACAACAGGTATAACTACATGTACTTTCTAATATTCCTGAATGATTATAAGTAACCGTATCCAACCAAAAGAGCTCTGTTTCTGAGAGATAATTGAATATTTTAATACAATGAAAAAGTAAGTTCAGCAGAATACTTCAGCTGTTTTGCCCTTCTTTCCTTTCTATTTCTGGTGTCTTGGTTTCTCTGATGATTTTAGTAACTTAAATTTTTCTGAAGAATGTTATTGATTTGATTACCTAGTGGAATAAGTATTGCTGTTACGGGCTATGCATTTTCTCACAGGTCATTTGAAAACTGTTCCATCTTTCGATGGATTTCATATAACTTATTTATCATTTTTCTTATGGTAGATTAATATTAATGCAGTCGTTTTTATATAAAGTGAATCTGCTTCTTGTTACTGGTTGGCAACGAGAGGATGATATCACAAACAATTTTCTACTGTTAGGAAAAATACCCAGAACTTTTCTATGTAGTCAGATCTATGAAAGTGAAATAAAAACGAAATAAAGACAGAATAATTGGACACATCAATTGATAACGGAGTTCGGCCAAAATTGCCTACGTCTCCGGACTACTGCAGATATTTTACTGGGAGAAAAGAAAATACACATGTGTTTACAAAGCACTCTCAAAACACTCAACCCTCAACCCAGTTACACCCAGAAGCTAAATTATTTTCTTTTTGCTTCTTGTTGGCTAACTCTTGTAATGGTTGCTTTGGAATTGGATGATAGAAATGAGTGAAGTGAAAGAGCATTTTATAGCAAAAGGAATGGTTATTGTGCATTTAAGGTTTTCCAATTTTTCTTGTCTCCAACCACTTGCCAACCAACCACTTGCCACCTTTTTTTTACTTTTCAAACACCAACACATTCTACATTAGAACAATGAAAAAAAAATAAAAATAACATGATTTGGATGTAGTTGTCTTTGACATGGCTTGCTTATGCTCAATTGAAAAACCATGAATAAGATTCCGGTTATATGAAAAATGAATATGATTGTATAGCTTGGAAGTGATTCCTTTGACATGCTGCGCAAGGAAATAGAAGATAAGACTCATAACCTGAGGTATGAACTCACTGCAACTACTTTGATTTAGGCTTTTATATATGTACATACACACACACACACACATTTATTGAGAGACATGGTTTCCATAATGCAGTCAGTTGAATGGGGATGAGTTGCAAGGATTGACAATAGAGGAATTGCAGAAACTGGAGGAACTTCTTCAAAGACGTTGGACCACTATTTCAAAAATTAAGGTGTCTCCCATTCTAAGTTCATTATAGTTGTTTATAGGATGAAATCTAGAAATTCATTGCACCTGTAAATTCAACCTTGTACTTGTAATTGTGCATGCTTCTGACATAATTTAGTCTTTCAGGATGAAAAAATTATACAAGAGATCAACAGCAGTAAAACAAAGGTAAAACATTCTGAACCAACGGAACATGTTGTGTGTTTGATTTAACCATCAAAAAGACTTTTGATCAAGAATGCTCAGGCTCATGACGAAGCCTGAAACTGGACATCACATATTCGGTTATTTCACCTAAAACTCATACTTGAATTTCTAACCTGAAACCTAGAAGACAAGGTCAACTTGCCATGTTATTAAAACTGTCCTACTTAAAATAATTTGATGAAGCCATCTGATTCAGAATAGAAAATTAATTAGCTTATTCGTCATAATTAATGTTCGTTAGGAAATAATTTCAAAAGGGCATGTAACGTTAAAATCACCTCTTGATTGAAGCTGGTAACTGTGCTTCCATGTTTTTTCTGCTATTATGCGGGAAAACTACATTCTTGAATAATTTTCAAACACTGCTAATAGTAAAAGTGAAGTGTTCGAAGTACTTTTTTTTTGGTTTGTTTTGAATGGTGCAGCCTGTTTGCAATTTGTTCATCGAAATTTATTCACTCAACCTTTTTCTGCAATGACGTTTCGCAATTAATGTTGGACATGAAGGAAGCTGAACTTATGGAAGAGAACCAGAAATTGAAGCAGGTAATAGGGTTTTCAAAATCTAGCTTATGAGCATTCTGATAGAGATATCATACTTTGAAAAAACTTAATTAATTATCAATAATTAATACGAATATTATAACAGAATATTTCTATGTTCAGAGGTTGGCACGAGAACAAAGGCAATCACATGAGTCAATTACCTGCAGTTCATCTGATTTTTCTCCAGACATTGGTAGTTCTGACACATCTCTCAAGTTGGGGTTAGTTTACACTTCATTCCATCCTTCTGTAATATTCAAAAACATTATTTTATTACAACATGTTTAATCACATTATTTTCTTACACCATGTTTATGCAGGCTGCGTTTATTTGAATGAAGCAGAAATATTGGTTCAGAGGACCATAGTGAGATGATTTCTGTGTGAAAGACAAGATCAATGTCGTTTTTGGTATTATAAAAACAACTTGCTTTTGGTACCAGGTGAAAATTTTCACATCTGGGGCAACTTATTTTGTAACCTAAACAGAACATTATGTCCTATGTTCTCACCTAAAATGATAGGAAGGAATGGTTATTTATAAATCTGAAAGGAGAAATGTTTTTGTGGAGAGCACAAACATTTATCCTTCAACTCATTACACTAATTTAATAATATTATTTAATATTATATATATATATATATATATATATATATATTAATAAACGAGTTGTTAAAATATCACTCTTCTCAAAGTAAAAAGAACGACAATTTGAATTTTAATATTTGATATGTTTTTATTTTTAATAAATTGAAGATAAACACTGTTTTATCAAAATATATATAACTTGTTTATAATTATAAAAAAATATAACTAAAATATATAAATGCAATTCAGCATGTAAAGTAAGTAATAAGTGGAAACATTTCATTTTGAACCATTTTTATAACCCATTAAATTGTATATGGTGCACTGAATTTGGTTCTGTGAAATTTCGTTCTTATTCACTCTACTCAAGTACGTATTTGAAATATATAAATTTTGTCACATTTTGTAGCACGAAAGTTTTTATGAAATTTATAGAAAAATTATAAAGTAACAATGAGCATGTGTATGATTTTAATATAAGTTAATTTGTAATTTTTTTATTTTTAATTTATTTTATATAAATTATTTTAGACAATCTTTAAATTATTAATTTTTATTATATAACATACATAAATATATAGATTATAATAAAAAATTAATCTTAATTTATAAAAATATGTTTTTTAATTTTTTTCTCCTCTCAAATTTTTTTATGATTTTTAAATTCAAATCTTTTTCATTAATCAACATTCATCGAATTAATTATTATAAATTTTTATTTTATTTTATTTTTACTTTTCTTAATAATTAATAAATTTTTATATTTTATTAAATCACATTCAACCTATTATTATATTTCACAGAATGAATGAATTAGTTGTCATTTAATGCACATGTAAAATATTCAATCTATCATTATATTTCACAGAATGAATTAATTATCATTTAATGCACATGTAAAATATCAAATGTTAAGACACGTGCTCTGCTGAGTATGCCTCTTGATTAATAAATAACAAAAAGCTTAAAAATAAATTTAAGAATTAAATCATTCAAGTTAAATATACAGGTTTACCTTTATCATTCCATCATAATAATAATAATAATAATAATAATAATAATAATAATAATAATATTATTATTATTATTATTATTATATAATTTCAAAAGTATTTATATATTAATATTAAAAAAAAGATAGAAATAAAGGTTAATTCGTGTAAAAATGTATGGTTTACGTTGCATCACGTTATCCGTACAGAATAGTCAAATGCACATGCAAAAAAATAATTTTTAAAAATGTGCGGTGCTCTATTTAACTTTTCATCATAATTGTCCCTTAATTAATAAATAAAAAATTATTTAATTGTTATTATTCAAATTATATAATTTGAAATTAGTTATTTTTTATTTATATATATAGGAGAGATTTATATTTAAAATTCCAACTGTTTTCGACCAATTGAGAAAAAAATCAACTATTGACTTTTCTCTTTCACGAAATCTTGACTCTTTGTGTCAGAGTTGGATTTGAATATGATACTAAAATTTAATAAAAAATAATTTTTTTAATTAATGAAGTTTTGTCCAAATCTTGTGAGAATCAACTTTACCTAACTTCAAGATTCTTGAGCAAATTTCTAGTTAGTTTTGGAACACACACTCTTATTATTAGTGATCAATAAGAGTAAAAACAACCATAATTGAAAATCCTCCCATTAAAAAAATAACAAATGAAAATGATTGAATTGGATATATATATATATATATATAACCTCGATTGGTACATAGTCAAATAATAGTAATAATAATATTAATAAAATTATCAAACGAGTGATATATTCTACTATATTTTAAAAAGTATATATTCTGTTAATTTTAATCTATATGAATAAAATATTAACTAAATTTGTATTGATGTAAACTTTTCATACAATGTAAGTTTTACAAAACAATTAATAAAAATGTTTTATCATAAGAGATGAGAAATATTATTTTAATTATCCCTTTATTTAAAATATTCATAAAATTGAAATGAAATATTTTAATTATTTTATTCTAAAATATCTTAATTAGTTTATTATGACGTAATTTTTGAACAAAGAATCTTTAAATAACTCATTTTTTTAAAGTCAAATCTAAATTTTAAATATTTAAGTGAATTCAACTAATTTACATTCCTAAATTATAGGAATGAGTTGCATAAATACAAACTAAGTTGTTCCACAAAAAAGTAGATAGTTGTGGAAGAACCTTGTAACTATCTGCGGCTTGATGGATGTATGACAGCATCATCAGTGAGTACGATAATAAATGGTTGGATAAGAAAAAGATTGGGATAAAGTTTTATATGACTGTATGTGGCATGCTCATGTCTTCCCTTCACCCCTCTTTCTTTGGAGACAAGGACTAAGGTTAGGTTTGTACCTAACTTCCCTTCTTCTCTTCTTCTCTTCTTCTCTTCCAACCCTTCACAACCTTCTTTTACTTTCTTCTTTTTCTCCCATTTAGCTAGGGTTCCTTTGGCTTTTGCCCTTGCCTTTCAATCCTTTTGCCAAGATCTTAGCAAGCAACGTACCTCCTTTCTTTACCTCTCTTACATAGAATTTTCGCCAAGCACCATTTTTCTTTACCTGTTCTCTGTACGGCTCAAGCACACAAACTTTTCTTTCCATACATGTGACCCCCTTTTCTTCCTTTATTTGTTTTTTTAATGAAAACGGGGCCAAATTAAAACCCAAATTACGCATCTTCGTTGTTTTCTTAATCTCTGAGTAGAATTTGTGACATGCCTTATTTCATGTGAAACTTGATCACTCTCGGAAGCAATACGCACAGAGAATATCTGAGGCATAACTTGTACAATTTTTCTGGTCTTGCCTATTGTTGTTCAGGAAAATGGTGAGAAAGAAGATACCGATCAAGAAGATCGACGATGTAACTGCGAGGCAGGTGACATTCTCGAAGAGGAGGAGTGGTCTTTTCAAGAAGGCTCGTGAGCTTTCTCTTCTTTGTGATGCTGAGATTGCTCTCATAGTCTTTTCACCTGGTGGCAAACTCTTCGACTATGCTAGTTCAAGGTATTTTCCTCTTCCTAGTTACTCATCACTCGTATCTGCTAGAACTTGCACTGATATAATGTTACCCTTTTTTTCATCTTATTATTGTACTTCAGATCTCTTCCATGTTTGATTTTAAATTTTATCATCCTTAATTTGTAATAATATTGCTTCTAGGGTTCTGTCTACAAGCTGCAGATAAATAGCACCATGGATTTCGTTTCAAATGTTATCATCATGTGTTGGTTTGCTATTTGAGAGCCTCTCTACTGAAAATAGAGTTTTCTTTAGTAAAGAAACTGTCTTAAGTGTATCAAAATTGAACTCATAAACAAATTGATATATTGTTTTAAGTTTAAAATCAAATTAAGTTATAGCAATCCAATTTCAAAGTTCTGCTTTTACAAACTTAATCACGACAGAATAAGAACAGCTTAATTATTGGCGAAAACCAAAAGTTAATTAATTGTTGGCTAAAGAAAGGTATTCATTTATAAGGTTAATATCAAATTCCTTACAAAGTTTGGATTAATCAAAACTGAGTTTAATTTCTACACATTGTTGGTGCAATTTTTTTACAATATTAATTAATTAAAAATTGTCGAATTCGGATAACTTTTAATTAGTTATTATAGAGAAACAAAAGTCATTTTATACAAAATGTTTCTCCATCAGAAGATAACTTTAACATGTTTTAAACATATTCACTGCCAATTTCTTGGTCCAAAGTTATTTACTGAATAACATATTGAGTGCCCAAAATTTAGCCTAAGAATATTCGGCCGAGAGGAGCTAGAAAATTTTATTATAATATTCATGTATTAAGTGGAACAAATTTGAAAAGGAAATAAGGAAAAATGAGTATTATCAACTAATGAAAAATTATGGTATTACTATTATAAAAAAAATTATTAGTGATTTGTGATTGAATGACACTATATTTATCCTTTATACATTTGTTCTCAAGTTTTAAAGGTTGATATATTTATGTAAACTTGAATAATGTCAAAGAAAACATCATAAATTCAATCCAAGTTGAAGAAATTAATGTGCCGTCATTTTTGTTGATTGAAGTATGCAGAAAATAATTGAAAGGCACATTTTACGGTCAGAGTTGAACCTTGACAAACTAAACCAGTCATATCCTACAGAGCAGGTATTTTTTATTTTTATTTTTTCTAATTTCCCACTTGAGGTGTTTTTTTAATGAAAAAAAGAAGAAGCCAATATTTGTGATTCTGATTTTATGTAAATCCCTCGTTTTTTTAGTTACAAGAGTTTCATTGATTAAGGTTTTAGGTTAGAAATATCAATTCCAATATATATATAATTAGTACTTAAATAACGTATAAATTTCATCTTACAAATCCATTTTATAAATTTCAATTAGATATATTTATCGATTAACTTTAGGGATATTAAAATATTATCTATTAACAATTTTTGAAATAAACCATGTTATCTTATCGTTATTGAATCATGCTGATTCTCGAAGTGAGTTAGACTCTTCTCTAGTTTATTTTTCCTTTTCAAATTTTTTTCTTAGGTTGAAGTTTATGGACCAACGTGAAAGATTCAAATGAGGATGAAGTACTTGAACTGTAGGGGTACATGTGTAGTATGCAGAGATAATGCCTTAGCTTCATTATTTTTATACAAAACCCACTTTCTAAAGCTAGAAAATAATCCAAAGACTTGGTTTGGATGACGATGGTGAATTCAAGGGGCAAGTCGAGGGTACTTGGTGTGGTTAGAGACAAATGAGTGGGAGGTTGGATGTTTTTGGAAAAGTAGAAAGTGGAAGGATGAGGTCCTATCCATCATAGGTCAAACCCTACGTTTGAAAGTTAAATTCCATGCAAAGGAGATCAGCAAGTGGTATTATTAACTCGAGAAAAACGAATTATTCTTCTAAAATAGTTTTTCATATTCAATCTTTAAGTTCTTAGCATTCAATCATTTGAAAAACAAATGAAGTTTAAAACATATAAGCAATTAACTGCGATTTAATAATACTGCTGTTTTCAGACCCAAGTCATGTTTGAGATTTCTTACTAGAAGTCAATCTATTACAGGTGAACCAGTTAATTATCTCAAATGATCATGGCAGAAACCACACACTAATTATCAAACTTGTTTTAAGTGTTACAGAAAATTGAGAAGTTGGAAGAATTCACTCCATTTAAAAGTATTATGCAAGAAAATTTTTATCTCTCCCCACCTATTGTATTATAATGTGTGAAGAGATTATCTTCGTTGGTGTATTAGCTCTAGCCAAGCTATTAATAAAGATACAACAAAAGTTTTCTTTTCTCCAAAAGTTTTGTTTTGCAAATTATGAAGCACCGATTTCGACACAGATACCAGACACGACATTATCAGACATCAAGACACAGCTAATGTCGAAAATATAGGACAAAAATCTCAATTCATTAGCAGTAGTTTTTCATATATGATTTGTTTGTTGTTCATTTGGCCCACACAATATGTCTATACTTGCAGTTTAATTTACATTAAACCAGGACTACATGCTTATTTTTGGTGTTAGTTAGTGTCATTTTTGCTCAAACAACTTGTCTGGTGATTGCACAGGTTAAATTCGATTATGGTGATTTGAACAAGGAATTAGAAGACAGAACTCGTGAACTGAGGTATTTCAATTTTAACATGAAATCTGTTGATGATTTCATCACAAAAGCTTCAATTTTATAATGCTATTATAATTTTACAACTTCATCTTAGACAACTGAGTGGAGAAGAATTGCAAGGATTGACCGTAAAGCAACTACAGAAAATAGAAGAAGGACTTGACTCATCCTTGAACCGTGTCTATAAAGCCAAGGTTGATGATTCCTCCTCTGATCACTTTTCTCTTCATCAGACCAAATTTTATATTTCTGTTCAGATTCTTTAACAGAGAACATTTGGTATGTCTTTCAGGTTGAAAATTGTATCAGAGAGATCAGCTTACTCAAGGAAAAGGTAGAGCTAATCTTCATCTTCAAAATAATCTTATATATATGCATTTTCTTCAATGAAGAACCAAATCAATTACACCTTATCCCTTGAAATATTATGTGATTAGGTTATTAAATAAGTATTTAATTAAACCATCTCATTCAGTAACAAACAAAAATATTATATACGAGGATATCTTTATGTAAAAAATGTGAAATAGACTTTATTAATGGTCAGTGTTCATGAAAATATATCTAGAGTTTTTTTCTTCTAATATTCTTCATTTTCTCGATTAATTTTATCTACAACATTCATTTTTTTTTTAAGATTCAAATCCAATCACACTCATATCAACTTGATGTAAATGCACTGAGATTCATTTTATTGATATAACCTATGTCTAATGAAAATCAAATTATTATGATTGATTTATACTAATATGATGCATAATATAATATACTTGATTTATTCATAATATACATCAAATTCTTATTTCAAAATAAAATGATTTATTATTGTTTTCTATGAATAAAACAGTTTATCAATAGGAAAAAAAAAGTTGTTACTATTACATTCACAACCCAATAAGTGATTGTTGGGACTTGTGTACGGGGAAAATCCAACCAAAGGAGTAGTTCATTGGGAGAGTTTATACTTTAGTCGTCACAAAGTGAATATTTAACACACTGGGTAAACAAATATAAATCCAAAATTTGTATATATTATGGTATTAAAAATTTATTTTTTATATAAAATATAACATGTTACCACATCCCTATAAATCTTTGACATCCTAACAAAACTCGCACGTGAAAATTCAAGAATCATCAACCTTTATATTAAATATCATAAAAAAAATATGAAAAAATAATCCAAAACTCATGAGCAACAAAGATAAATAAACCAAACTTAAATTCTTTAAGCCTAAATCTATTCTTAAAAAATTCATTACTAATACAAGTGAGTATTTATTTGAACCAAAAGAAAGTTGTCTATTTTCTAATCTAGACCAAACATTTTATCAGCAGATTTGCTTCCTTCTTTAAAAATATGTGACAAAAACAAAACAAATGTATTAACAATTTAATTATATTAAACACTAAACATATGTTAAATATAGTTTTTTATTGTCATGTTATATTGTATGTTGTCTCTTAATATCTCTCCACACTTTGGCACTATGATGTTTAATTATCACTTGTCATTTCTTAATGCAGGAAAACAAACTCCTGGAAGATAACCGCCTGATAAAACAGGTAACCATTTTTCACTAAATTCAAGTCTTTCTATTATTTTCATTACCTGGAAAAAAAAAATATAAGTCTAGTTGAATTGGTTGAAAAGTAGGTGTAAGCTATGCCATATATTTAATTTTTATAGATAAGTAAATAAATGATAATTTCTTAAAAGGAAAAAATATGTTGAAGAGAATGTAAGGGGTGTTCTAAGTTCTCATCCTGTTACAGAAGAAAATCTCATGAAATGTCATCTTTGTTACTTCGAACAACAAAATCTAATGAATAAAAAAGATTCAAACACCAAAAAGAAAATAATACATTTGATGCACTTAATCTAGCTGTATACCGAGAATCATGTTAATTGATGAACCCGACGAAGGTCATGAATGTTTTGAAACCTCTCTTATACCGCCCATCAAATAAATCCACGTATCACAAGAATAATCATCCACAGTTATAATAAAATATAAATTGATGCGTCAAAATTAAAATCAAATTATTATAAAATATTAATAATAATTAAAATTAAATAGATATAAAATTTAAATAACCGAACTTTATAAAATTAAAATAAAGTAGCAGAGTAAAAAATTACTTTGAAACAAAATAGTGTAATAATTAAAATTAAATTAATGTAAAATTTAAATAACTGAAATTTATAAAATTAAAATAAAGTGCTTTTAAAATAAGGTGCAAAACTCAAATATTTGCTTTAAGTGAAATATTGCACTAATTAAATTTAAAATTTCTGGGAGTGGTACCTCTAAAACTAAATTGAGAATTGAAATTGAAAAAGAGATGAATTGAAAATGATAATTAAGCAGTAATATTGGAATCAAAATTTTACACAATTAAATAGGATAAATTAAAATGAACACTGAATAAATAAAGTAAATAGAACAATATAAACTGAAAAATTTAATAGAAATTACAAATTAAATAAAAGAAAACAAACGGAAAGTACACTTAAGTAGATGAACTTGCCTACCTAAAAACTGTGAATAGAAAAAGAAAGTGGGGAAGAGACAAAACAACAATTCTCATCCCGAGATTAGGAGATTATGATCATGTTGTTATCATAAAATCTTTATTTATAGGAGATTAAACAAGATAACTTAAACCTAAAATTAATTACAATAAAATTAAATATTTATTAAATAAAAAATTGCAAAATTGGTGAAGAGGAATTTATGGGACTAGTTTGCAGAAAATAATCTCTTTTTTTCCTATTTTGTATGATTTAACACTTATTTGCATTTAATTCTTGATTCCTGTTGATATTTAATTTAGCAAAATTAGATTCTCGCACCAGCTTAATTTGCTTTAAAATTTTTATTTGTAACTGTTAGATATTGTTTAGATATTATTTAATATTGTTAAGATATTGTTAGATATTAACCATAATATCAAACAATATCTTCTCGTTTATTCTGTTACTTTCGATTACTCTTTTAGTTATATCTCTTTATTATAAATAGATTACCCTATGTGTGATTTATACACAAGGGATATTAATCCCAAACTCTATTTTTTCTATATTCAATATGGTATCTAGAGCTTAAGGTTATTTTGAATTTTTTTTTCGCCTTTGACCACTATTGAAGTCGCCACCACCACTATCGCTGTCGGTTATTTGGTAGTGTGAAAGTGCATGTCTAGGGAAGTTCTGACAAGGAAAGACTTGGTATTTAAGCGTGTTCATTAGTGACCCACCTCTCTTTCCTGGGAACTTACCTGATGTACTGGTTCACGCCGCTGTCATTATCGCCTCCGCCCTTTATGAGTTCTTCCGCTCCTTTTAGTACTTCTAATTCTGTCAGTACTGCGTCTGATCCTTCCATCTACACTATGTTAATGTGCACTTATCCATTGACAAATTAACTGGCCCTAATTATGTCACATGGTCATCAGATGTCAGATTATGGCTTAAGAGTCAGAAGTATCTTGATCATCTTGCCCCGAAAGCACCTACTCTCACTCTTGGTGAGGAAGACCGTTGGGACACCATTGATGCTCAATTATGCGTGGTTCTCAAGGGTATTCTTGATCCTTCGTTAAAACAAATTTTTCGTTCCTACGAAACATGTGCCAAAATCTGGGAACATGTCAAGTTATTATACACCAATGATACTCAACGTCTCTATGATGTCTGTTCTAAATTTGTAGATGTTATTGCCTCTAAACATCAAGATTCTATGACTGGTTATATGTCTGTTCTTTATGTCCCTGAGTCTCCTTTTAACCTGTTATCCATAGTCGTCTAACTCGTTCTCTTGATTATGTTGTTTCTTTTACCAACAATTCTGTGTGTTTACAGGACCGGAGTTCGAAACAGGTGATTGACACAGGATGTGAGTCTCATGGTCTTTATCATCTTCGTCCCTTTACACATGTTGGTACAATTATAGAGTCTCTCTCTCTTCTCCATGCTCAGTTAGGTCATCCAAGTCTTGCCAAGTTACAACAACGTGTCCCTGTCTTATCTAAATTGTCTAGTTTGGCATGTGAGTCGTGTCAATTAGGCAAGCATAGTCGTACTTTCTTTCCTCGTAGTGTCACACGTGGTGCTTCGTCCCCTTTTGTCGTGGTTCACTCGACATTTGGGGACCTAGCCGCGTTAAGTCTACTTTAGGTTTTCAATACTTTGTTACTTTCATTGATGATTATTCCGGATGCACTTGGTTATTTTTGATGAAAAATCGTTCGAATTATTTCATATCTTTCAAACTTTTTTCAATGAAATTCAAACTCGGTGCGGTGTTTCTATTAGAGTTTTGCGCAGTGATAATGGTCGTGAATATCTTTCTCATTCTTTTAAACAATTCATGGCTTCTCATGGTATTTTGCATCAAACTTCTTGTGCTTATACACCTCAACAAAATGGTGTAACTGAACGTAAAAATAGACATCTTATTGAAACAACTCGCACTCTTTTAATTCATGGAGAGGTTCCTCAGCATTTTTGGGGTGATGCTCTTCTTATTGCATGTTATCTTGTTAATCGCATGTCATCTTCGGTTCTAGATAATAAAATACCTCATTCCATTTTATTCCCTCATGAACCACTCCATCCCTTACCTCTAAAAGTTTTTGGATCTACATGTTTTGTTCATAATTTTAGTTCTAGTCTTGACAAGTTTTCTCCTAGATCACATAAATGTGTTTTCTTAGGGTTTACAAGATCACAAAAAGGATACAAATGTTTTTCTCCTTCTCTTAACCATTATTTTGTGTCTGCAGATGTCACCTTTGATGAGTTCTCTTTTTATTTTAAAAGTCAATCTTCACCTCTGTCTCCATCCAATCTTATCAACACTCCTAGTACATTTAATGTTCCTGTTGTTTGTGACCCTCTAACTGTGTCTTCTTCACCATTAGATTCTACTCCGCAGTCAGCTTTTTCTTCACTGCCTCTTCAGGTTTATAGTTGTCGAAATCAATCATAACCACCACCATGTGACTCTACTCAAGTGCCAACTACTCTGTCTCCTCCGGATGCGACACCTGAGTCTGACCTTCCCATTGCCCTCCGAAAAGGTATCCGCTCTACACGTAATCCATCTCCTCATTATATTGGTTTGAGTTATCATCGACTGTCATTACCTTTTTATATATGTCTTTCCTCTCTTTCTTCTGTGACCATTCCAAAAATTGTCCGTGAAGCTTTAGCCCATCCTGGTTGGCGTCAGGCCATGTTAGATGAACTAAGTGCTCTTCATAATAGTGGAACTTGGGAATTGGTCTCGTTACCGTCTAGGAAATCTGTTGTTGGTTGCAGGTGGGTGTTTGCTATCAAAGTTGGACCTGATGGTACTATTGATCGCCTCAAAGCTCGTCTTGTGGCCAAAGGTTATACTCAAATTTTTGGGTTGGATTATGGAGATACCTTTTCTCCTGTGGCAAATATGACTTCTGTTTGTTTATTTATCGTCATGACCGCTCTTCAACAATGACCTCTTTATCAACTAGATGTTAAAAATACTTTCCTCAATGATGATTTGCAAGAAGAAATCTATATGGAGCAACCTCCTGGGTTTATTGCTCAGGGGGAGTCTTCTGGGATGGTATGTCGTCTTCGCAAATCCCTATATGGCCTAAAACAGTCTCTTAGGGCCTGGTTTGGAAAGTTTAGCAAGGTTGTTCAATAATTTGGTATGACTCGGTGTGAAGCAGATCACTCTGGCTTTTATCGACACTCAAGTGATCAGTTGACAGATATTTTTACTAAATCTTTATGGGGTCCTAGAATTGATTATATTTGTAACAAGCTTGACACATACGATTTGTATGTTCTAGCTTGAGGGAGAGTGTTAGATATTGTTTAGATATTATTTAATATTGTTATATATTAACCATAATATAAAACAATATCTTCTGTTTATTCTGTTACTTTCAGTTACTCTTTTAGTTGTATCTCTCACTATAAATAGACTACCCTATGTGTGATTTATACACAAGGGAGATTAATCTCAAACTCTATTTCTTTTATATTCAACAAGTAACGTTATGCAACTGGTTGCGTAAATATACAATATAGATGTATGCATGTATACTATTTATTATGTTAAAACTATGCAAAATACAACATATTAAGATAAATTATATTATATTTTTAATAAAAATATGTTAAATAAATGATTTATAAATAATGTAATTTTCTTACACCTACCAGGACTGTTTTTAGTGGTATGTGATTTTCTTTTCTTGTTCTTTGTAGAGGATAAAACCGAGGAATGAGACATGTTCCGTACAGATACATGAGCATGAACAAGACCAGTCCTTTTACACCTGCCTCACATTGGGGTAAGTTTCTCGAGGCATGCATGCTACTGACTCTTGAAACAATTCAATGAATTTTGTTTGATATAGTTTCAGAACTCATGAATGAACATTGTGAGGAATAGTCAAAATTGCAATGTTTGGTTGTAAGAAAATTAAAACTTCATTATGTGGAGGTCATTGATTTTTGTTTCCTAAATGAGTAGTTGTTTTGCAATGTCTTGCAGGCTACCTTTTCCTTCTGGTTCAAAATAAGTTTCTGAGGAACGAGGGAACACGACACTGTCTTAAGAGAGAAAAAACGAAGAATGAATCACCAAGAATAAAATGGATTCATATATATGGTGGTAACTCATGTTTGTTAGTACAACAGTAATGCATTCAGCTATAATACTGTAGCATTCATCTCCAAATTTACGAAGTTAACTTATCACTTCAACTTTGAATCTATTACTCATAGATATATAATTAAAAATAAATGTTTTTAAATTTAATAAATAAATTATTTCATATCATGTGGCTTATTAATGTCAAATTAGTTATAAACAATTCATATTTTAAAAAATATGAATTGTTGATTTTAATTTATATAAATATTACATCAAATAATCTTAAATTAATAATATATATATATATATATATATATTAAAATTAAAAATATAAATATTATGTTTCTTAAAAAATAATATTACATTTTAATAAGTTTTGATGGTTCTTTAACTTCTATATCAACTATGGAGTGCTATAAACTTGTTGCATGAAGTTACTATAAAATGTAATAATCAACTCCTTTCATTTCATATATTTTGTATTATATGAAATTAAATGAAGATAAAATATTATAACATATAATTCTATTATTCAACAATGGAACGAAACCAGTAAATGTGATCACATTTCCTAACACGCATAATATTTAACATAAACTAAAATTTGAAGAAAAAAAGTTACTTCTCTTAAAAAAAGCAACCAAAATTACAAACTCCTAATAATCAATAATAAATAATACTTATATTTTATTCTATTTTTTTATTGATGTTAATAAGTAATGCTTGTAATTTATTATTATTATTATTATTATTATTATTATTATTATTATTCAGTATCTTCACTTTATTTAAAAATGAATTTGGTTCAAGTTTATTTTAAAGTGTAAATTTAATTTCAAACTAAAATTTAGATAAATCAACCATAAAACCACAATTGTAGAAAAAAACACACTGAAACAGCACAAGTAAATGTAAAAAGTTGAAGAAAAAAATACAGTTTACTTATTTTTTAAATACGTAGTCTTAGGTAAAAGGCAATAATAAAATTAGTAAGTTACTAAAAAAATAATAATTTATTCAATAATTATCAAATATGCATAATAAATTTTTAAATTAATTACAAATGTATTTATTTTTTTAATTAAAACTACAATGTATATTTTATCAAATGAAAAGTTTTGATTTGGAAGACTTAATTAAGCATGGTAAGAGGATGGGTCAAGATTGGTTATTTTCTGCTTTTGTTTTTTATTTTTTTAATTATTTTTGTCTTAGATTTTTGTTGAGTTTAGAAATTTAATCTCCATTCTCATTCTGATTAAGTTTTGGGTTTTCTCACCTCCATCTATTGTTAATCTACATTATTTTTTAAAAATTATTTATATTTATAATAAATTAATTTTAATATTTTATTTTTACATAAATAAGTATTTATTATTTGTAATTATTATTAATATATATATATAATTTATTATATTTATATTAAAATATGTATGTAAAAATAAATATTTAATTATTTTTCTTTATATAAGATACTTATTATAATAATAATAATAATATTATTATTATATATTCAAACATTTGATTATATATATAGAAGTTAATTTTTTAAAAAATTCTATTAAAAATATGAAATATATAATTTATAAAAAAATATTTAATAAATTAATTTTTATTTAATTAGTTCAAAGTAGTAAAAATTTAAATTACCAAAATTTTTTAATCATTTAAAATATAATTATTTTATTAAAATAAAATTTAATATTTGACAAATAAGAATAATAAGATAAAAAAAATGACATAATAAAACTTAATAAAAGTAAATTATAAATAAAATAATATTTATTACTACTATGATTTATGTAAAATATTTTAAAAAAAAAGATAAAGAAGAAAAAAATTAACTTTATGTTGATCAAATTAGTTGAAAAAATTGTAATTTTTTTATTGAAGAGATTAAAGAAATATGAAGAGTGAAAGGTAAGAGAAAGAGAATAATGTAATGAACTAATTGATATAAAATATTAAAAAAGATAAAAAAATTAAAAAGTGGGTAGATGAAAAGTAAAATGGTGAAATATAAAAAATAATCTTATATATAATCTAATAAGAAAATAAAATATTTTAAAAATATTAGTATTTTAAAATTTAAATTTAAATATAAAGTCGAGCGGGGACAAACAGGGACGAGATTGCAGTACACATCTTCACGCCCCAAATCTTGATCAATTTGGCTTTTCTCTATCAAAACTCAAAATAAAAACGGATCGATACTAGGTTTAATTATCGACTAGACTCACTAATACGCCAAATTTGTTTAAAAGTTATTGGATAATAAAATTAGGCTTTTTTCTGAGAAGAAAAGGACATAATTTTTTTTATTGAAAATAATGAATTTAAAATTAAATATTTATTTAATTATAAAATTATTCATATAATTATTAATTCTTTTTTTATTAATAAAAATAATTTTTTAATTTAATATCTTCAAATTAATATCTATTTATTTAATAATATATAATTAATATTTTTTTCTAAAACTGTTTAACTTTAAATGAATATAATAATTTATATTAAAAAATATATTAAATTATTTATTAAATTTTGATAATTCTTATAACTTTATTATATTTTATTAAAATAATAATTTTTATAATACCACTATAAATATAAAAATAAATAATAATTTATTTTAATAAAAAATACTTTTTTTTATATTTTTTATTATTTATTATTTATTAAGAAAAAAATTCGTTGATTTTTCATTATAAATCACTTTCATTCATTATTTGTCTTGCAAATAAATGAAATTTAAAATAAATATCAATTAGTATTTATAAATTATAAATTAAATAATTATTATTTAAAAAATCAAATTTCAAACAACTTAACTTATAATTTATTGCAGAAATATATTAATTTTAAATTTTGGAAGTTTATTGAAAAAATGTGAAAAATAATAAGCAAGGCCTAATTATATGTTTGGTTAGAAAAATTGGAGGAGAGAAAAAATAAAATTAATTTATATGGAATGGTGTTAAAATGTTTTTTAAATGATGAAATAACTCCTCTACTATTTTTTTCTTTAATTAAATTCTTTTTAAGTGTTATTCTACTTTTCATATATTTATATACTCCTTGTCAATCCTAATCTTTTTTCTTTTTTGTTTCTCTAAAGATGATATGATTAACTAATTTTCTCATGAATAAAAAAAAACACTAATCACAAAAAACTAATTATTAAATCAAATTATAATCTATATTAAAAGATAAAAAAATTTGAATATTCAGTCATAATATTTTTGTTTGTCCTAAAGTCTAGGATAAAGTATCGTGAAGAAGAATGTACACAGACAAAGATCCAACGGTTGAAATGGAAAGAAACAAAAAAAATAGTTACTTCACCAAACACAGATAAATAACATTTCAACATATCATTTGTGATTTTTCTTAACTATTTTCTCTCTCTGCAACTCGCACTCACTCACTCACCCCATGACTCGGCGCACACGATCATCTTCTTCTTCAACCAAGAAATTTGAGGTTTTCGAGTTCAATGACGAAGACCAGAGTATTGAAAAGGCCTCTAAGAGGATTCTCCGCAAGTTTGAAAACCCTAGCAGGTCTCGGTCTTCCCTTATCACCAAATACGACTTCCTTCAATCCTGTGAGTTTCTTTCTCCCCACTTTCAATTTATTGTTCATTCATACATTTGTTGTTCCCATTCTTTCTCATTTTTTCTCTGCAGTTACAAGCGGTTCAAATTCCAAACCTGTATCCATTGAGGCTGCTGATCATATTGACCTTGATGATTACGAACTAGGTACTGATCATTCATGCATGAAGTCTTATGTCCTATCTGGATTCCTGATTATGGTTTATGTATTTTCTCGTGTTTCCGTGTGAGTTAGAAGAAGAAGAAGAAGTTACAAAGTGTTCAGCGGAGGAAGTTGCCAACCAACCGATAGAGCTTGTTGATGGGGAGAATGATGATGACCGTGGACATGATGAAGGTGATCATCTAGAAGATTTTGATAATCCATGTGCGATAGACACACGGCCTCAACTCTCTGCTAATAAAGATATTTCTGGCTACAATGGTTTAGGAGAAAGCGATATTGACTCGAAAGTAAGTACTCGTGTTGTTTTTATCTTTTTCCCTTTTGAAAATCATGTTTATTTTAGGGTCAAAGAAAGTCGTGGATCTTTTGGGTGAATGTTAATTTATTTTTATTTTTAAGAATTTGTCACTTGAGGTGGCTTCTGATGACACTAGTCAAACGAGTTCTTCTTGTACTTCTACTTCAAATCCCGCAGAAGATGAAGGTATTTTTTCCCCCTACTTTGAACTTTTTAATGATATCTAATGAATTCTTATTTTGTTTATCAGTACTGATTTCTCTTATTTTGAACTGGTTTTCCTCTGGTAACTGTCTGCTTTTATTTATTTATTTCTTTATTTTATTTTAGTTAACTTTGGGGACCAGCTAGTGGAGCATGGTGATTCTGCTGCATTTAAAATTGTAAGTGTACTTGTCATGTTCTTATAATTATTTGCTTAATTTTGTTACCTGATTGGCGATTATATATCAAAACTTTGTTTTCATTAGGAAAAAAAAAATGAAATTTGTTCTACGTTTTCTATCACTTTTGCTTTAGGGGGAAAGCAAACAGATTATGACATTGAAAGGATGGTTTAGCTCTGTGTGCAGTAGGTTATGTTGTGACCAAAAACTCAGAAATTCAAAATTATTATGCACACACCACACTTCAAATGAGAAACTTCTTCAAATGCGAATTGAGAACTATTTATAAATAGTCCTTTGGAGTTCAATTATTAACTATGATTAAAACTTTCCTTAAGGTGAAGGCATTTATCCCAATGAATTCTTATCATTGTCATCTCTAATGTTGGACTGACAACAGAAAGAAATCCCTTTGATGAAGAATGGAGACTTCATTCCCAATAGTTCTGAACAAAAACACCCTCTATAATGAAGTCCTTTTGTTCAAGAAAATGCTATTCCCTCTTTGGTACTGCCACTACAAAGTGGTGGTTGTTTCCATGACCATTCTGACGTCAGAATATGCTTGAACCCAAAGAAGAAAAACCCCTCCATTAGAAAATACCCAGTGTATGATCATCTGAATTAACATGTGCATGGTTGTGGTCACTCCTTAGAGAGTGATCCCCAGTAGGGAACTGAGGAGGCTATGGTTGTACGGTGGAGAATTGTGTCTCTGTCAAGATTTGGACAGAGGGTGAATTGACATACACACTGTTGAAGGCAATGAATGTCAATGTTTCTTGAAAGTGAATTGATGCAAGTAGAAGACAGCCGAGGCATGTGCCTTGACTTAAGAAGTGTTTTGATATATGATAACTATTAATCTGGACTCCATACACTCATACATATATGATCAAGATCAAAAGTTATTGGTCACAGACATTTTAAAACAGTCATTTCTCAAAATAACTGAGTTCTTCTCATTTGATACATGGAATATCTTGTTATAGTGAAAAGGAAGACTATAAATGAAGATCACTATACACACACGAGGGTTGTGGAAAGCACAATTAAAATCATAACCTCAGTCTTGAAATTTACTTGGTATTGAAATTGTTTTGAAATTTTATCGAAGAATAGTTTTGAAATTATTAGAAATGTATGAAGAAAATAATAAAAATGGTTGCAGGTATAGTGTTGAGGATTCAATAATAAATGAATGTTTTAGTAAACGAAAATATTTGTTTCCATTCTAGTTGGTGGAAGGGTAAATCTCACTATGTTCCTAATGCATCATATTTCACCCTTTTGTGAAGCTCTGCAATTCATTTGGTCTGCTTGTGTGATCTGATCTGGTCAACTCAGTCTTGAAAGACATTTTTTGTAAAACCCTGATTATCATACATGTAATTGTAGTTCTGTCATTGGAATTATTTTTATTTATTAATATTTGCCTTAAAATGACTTATGTTTTATGCTGAATCTAGTTCTTTGATTGAATGTATGTACGGAATTATTTTATATTTCTCTGGTTTTTTCGTATGCAGAATGACATAGAAAAGGTGGTTGATGTTATCCCTGATTTTATTCAATGCGAGGATTTGTATTCCACTTGCTCTCAGTTAACATTCACTTGCAACTCCCTGAAACTCAAAGGCTCAACAATCAATGGAACAAGGGAAACTTTTAAAATTGAGTGGACAACTGAAGATATCATAAAAATTGAATCATGTTGGTTTGGAAATGTAAGATGCTTCTTTTTTGTCCCTTTTCAATTAATCTCTTATCTCTCTTACAAATAAATTTGATTGTCCTCTATCGGTAGATTGAAACAGCCTTGATCAACCTTCTTCTTAAATCAAAAGATTATACTAAAGCTGGAACTACAAATCAAAATCCAGGTGTGACTACTTTCAACAATTATGTTATCAATAGTTGCGCTAATCATGTTATAATTCAGGCAACTGTATCTCCTTTAAAACCTATATAATTTGCTTAAAGATTCATGCAGGCTTTAAGCTGTTAAAGTTTGCAGTCTATGATTCTTGTTGGTACAAGGCAGAAGAAGCAATCAAATTATTGGACACAAGATACACAGATATATGGAGTACATTTTTTGAGTAAGAATGTACTTTGTAATTCAGTGGAGTGTCAAATATATCTATGTTGCAATACTTAATTTAAATTTTAATGGGTCAAAAGCAAGCATGACAAGTCCTCTTATCATCACTGGTCATGGGAAATGAAGAGCGAGGCTGAAGGTGTATCTATATAATAATGTTGTGTTCCCTTTTCCTTATGTAATATATAATTCACCAGGGTGATTTCTTTTATTAGATAGAGTTCATTAGTGTCTATATCAATAGGTGTTATGTTATAGCATCTCATTCTATTTAGTTTGCAGATTTTGTCTTGGTGAGATTGAATTTGTTCCTGATTAGTTTTCAATGCTTTTATTTTGTTAACTGTTGTCCAAATTATGTCTTTCAATATGGTGCTGTCTGGTGCTTAGTACTTGACTGGTCAAAATTCTGTTACTTGACTGTTCAAAAGTATGCTGCTCAATATTATAAGGTTTTAATCAGTATTACATATAATTCCCCTATGCAGCATTGATGCAGATAACAATGGAAATATTTCTGCATTGGGGAAGCACTACTTTTTCTCTCAGCAGCGTTATTTTCCCAAGTAAGTCCAACTCTTTTGCTTCTGTTGTTGAATTTTTTGAGTTATATGTTACATTGAGTGTTACATCAAGAAATTTTAGAATTTTGATTTTTCATTACAGTAACTCACCCATGTTGTGTTGAAGGGGATATCAATAGATAGTTCTATTTCTATTCCATTAGTATTTTCTCTTACTATTAAAATTTATTTTAGTTGGAGATCTTGGAGGCAGAATTTCTTTAGTCCCTAGCTATTGAAAATAAATTTTTTATTTTTCTTCTTTAGTATATTTTTTGTATTTTATGGTTAGAGTATGATGAAAAAAAAACATGAGAATGCACCTAATTGCTTATGCTTTTGAATAGTTGGTTCTTAGACATAGTATTTAAGCCTCTTCAGTCAAGCATTCAAGGGTTGAATCCACCCTATTGATCCTAGTTATATTAAAGTTTTCATGGTCATAGTCCCAATTATATTAAATTTCAGCTCAAGGGGGGTCTAACACTATTGATCCACACTGAAAGTAAAAAAGAAAATAGGTGTTTTATTTAACTAAAAAAGATGCATGAGCTTGCAATTGATAGCTTGAACTTTTGTGATGTTTTTATTCTTGAGTAAACCAATAACTTTTCTGTCCTTGCCCTTAGTTTGTTTTTGCCTGCCACTCCTTTTATTTAGCTAATATTTTGGTATTAGGAAATCTCTATAGTGTAGTATCATAATTATCAATGAGAAATTATTTGTTTATGTTATATTGTATTCTGCAGTTTTGATGAGACTTTTGATGAGGTTATTTATCCGAAGGGGGAGCCTGATGCTGTTTCTATTAGTAAGAGAGATGTTGAGCTTTTACAGCCGCAGACATTCATTAATGATACTATCATTGACTTTTATATCAAGTAAGCATGGTATTGGAAATTATAACCTTTTGATGAACTCAAGAATGTTGCTATAATTGACTTGTATTGTTCAGAAAATGATATTCACCCACCTTTTATCTCGTACATGCATGTACATATGTGATCTTTATTACTCTCATAACTGATACTTATCTTCAATTTATCTTGGTAGGAAAATTGCTTTTGTTTGCCAAGTTCTTTAGAACTTTTGATAAAATATTCCCAAAAAATCTATCCAAAACAAGCACTCCTTGCCATTTGTTTTTGCTTTTAAAATAGAACAATCCCCTTATGTTTGAGTCTTGCCTCTTTCTTTGAAGCTGCATATGAGCTGACATTTGCTAAATCTGGAATCTCTAGGTATTTGAAAAATAAACTCCCAACTGACGAACAGGACCGGTTTCACTTTTTCAATAGCTTCTTTTTTCGTAAGCTTGCTGATTTAGACAAAGATCCATCAAGTGCTTGTGATGGTAGAGCAGCATTTCAGCGTGTACGCAAATGGACTAGGAAAGTGAACCTTTTTGAAAAGGATTTTATCTTGATTCCCATAAACTATAGGTAAGAGTCCAAGACAATATCTTGCTTGTTTATACACACTTTGTTACATCTCAAGAATCATTAATGTGTCTTGATGACAGTCTTCACTGGAGTTTGATTGTCATTTGTCATCCGGGTGAAGTGACATGCTACCAAGGCAAGATATCTTTCCTGAGTTATTCTTCTATTGGTTATTCAGACAATATTACCATTTTATTTATTCCATTTTATTGTAGATGAAGAAATTAATGAATCTTCCAAAGTACCTTGCATCTTGCACATGGATTCCCTAAAAGGAAGTCATAAAGGTCTGAAGAATGTTTTCCAAAGGTAGCTTGCTGACAGCTGAGATTGACATATATGTCCACCTTCTATTTTTTAGTTAATTTGGAGGTCCAATAATATGTCCCTCTTCTCAAAATTTCACTCCATACAAAAATTGACATTTTGCTCTGATGACTGAAAGGGTCGCTGTATGAAGTTGCTTGAATACATTTTTTGTAATTTCTAAGTTTAAAAAAAGTAACATGGTATAGATTAATGGAATTGGCCCCACCTATATAACTGGTGTGCTTTGCCCACCATAGCTAATCACCAATCGCCAAACTTCTGCCAAACCCAACACCACCAGCATAATAGTCATTCCTGCCAATGTTTTGTCAACTACATGTGACATTAGAGTTCATATCAAACAACTAACTACCTCAAGTCATTGAGTTGTTGACCAGTGAAGTTTTATTATAGGTCGCAAAATGCTTAAAACTTGTATTGATATTTTGTCTGAGGTTGAACCTTGGGCTTAAATGGTTTCACAGGGCTTTGTTAACATATATATTTCATCATAAGAATTTCAAAAGCTACTACAGAAAATTGTTTTAACAAAGTTTAGTAGAAATGAAAATCTATTTAATCAAGTAAAATCTTGTGTATGAAGAATTCATCTTGTTCTCTGTCATTGTACAGAATCTGACGGTGCTTTCTTTTATATCTTTTGTATGGCAGTTACCTATGCGAAGAATGGAAAGAGAGGCACAGTAGCGTGGTGGATGATGTTTCTTCTCAATTCCTACATATGAGATTCATCTCACTTGAGGTAGTCTATTATTGACTTCCATGTAAGGAATCCAGTGCTATTTTTGGTTGACTTTGATTTTTCCTTTCTTTTGTATTTCAGCTGCCTCAGCAGGAAAATTTATACGATTGTGGCCTCTTTTTGCTTCACTATGTGGAACGTTTTCTGGAAGAAGCTCCAACCAACTTTAACCCTTTTATGATTACGAACTTCTCTGACTTTGTGAGTGACTTCCCATGGCATTAGAACTTGAACATGATGTGTTGTCTCATTTTGCATTTTTAACTTTAAAATTTCTCTCTAGTAGTCCGATGTATCTTGCTTTCATGACTCTATAATCTGTGGATGGTCTGGCTAATTCCATCAAGTCTTATGTCAGACAAAAAAATAGGAAGTTCATATGACCCTATAATCTGTTGTGCTTGGATGTATCAGTCGTGTGTTTGGTTTGTGATTTTATCATAATTCTATTGATTGAGTTTCTTTGATGAATAGTATTTCTTAATCGCTGTCATTCTTACATGCATCTGTGTTAATTGGCACCATTTATATAAAACATCTTGACCATGATCTGTGTGAGACGCTACATGTTTCCTTTGTCCGTTTTATACAGCTGTTGAGTCACAGTTAAATTTCTTCTTATAATTTTCAGTTGAACAGTAATTGGTTCCCACCGCCAGAGGCTTCTCTGAAACGATCTCACATACAGAAGCTAATTTATGATATATTTGAAAATAATTCTTTCCTGGCACGTCCTACTGATTGCCTCGATAAAGGTCTTCCCACTGAAGACCCTGCCATTATTGTCCAGACAAAAGTGGAAAAAGATTCCCTTAGGGATTGCTGCTATCCAGACTTGTGGTGTGTAAAAAATCCTGTAAATTCCTCTAGTCAACTAGAGACTGTTGATATTCAGTATCCGACAGCTTCACCCAGAAAAGTTTCATCGTTTTTGGGAGGACCTGCACTTGTTTCCAAGGACTTGCATGTAATTTCACGTTCTGATTGTCTGCAGATGTCAGCATGTGGCCAGAGGGGCTTCTTGGCACCACTAGAGGTAAATGTACATGGATCATTGAATTGATTCTGTGATTATTATTAATTTATCTACAATTTGTTCCAACTCTGCCGGTATGTTTTTTACTCCACATTTGTTTACTTTAATGACAACCTAGGGTTGCACTATTCAGATTTTAACTTTCTTTCTGGAATTGGCACGAATATGTACATGTTTATTTAGATACTTTTAACTACCTTTTTTGGGTGTCTAAGTCATGCTAAAAGCATTTCTATGGAATTGGCTAAAAGGAATGATGTAAAGTCTGCAAGACCTATCATGCTTATAAATAGTTCTTAGTTGCCTTGATCAAGGTGCCCCCTATTTTTTCTCATTTTCACAATGTAAATTAGTATAACTAAGATTAGAAGTGAAGAATAAATGGTTACCCAGTTATTCATCTGCTTAGAATATGAAATGTTGCTAGACCAACTGAATAATTTCACTTTTTATGCTCTAATACAGGAAAATGAAAAATCTGGTGAGGAAACTGCTTTATCAATAGAGAGGGAGAAATCCCAATTGGTATATGATTTCCCATCCACATCATATGTTAGCAAAGATCACGGAGCATCAGAATCATCTCAGCATGGATTTTCTGTAAATTTTGTGGAAGCTTTTGAGATCCATTCTCATCCAAGAACAACGACTAGTTTATCCTGGTTCCCATTGAATACAAGTACTCATGAAGACCAGCTTCTTAAGAAAATTGATGAACCCAACATTTCAGACAAGACATACGTTGAGTATTTATCGACCTCTGGTGAGGAGCTTACAGACTATGTTGTTCCAGATTCTCCGTTGCCAACCAATGCTGACGTGAGTTTTGTTAAGTCTCATTCCTCATTTCTTGAATATATGAATCCATTAATAACCCGTCAAATGCTCGATTTTACTCAGAAGACTCTTGCAAATGATACATTAGTCAACAAGGAAAAGCCACTGGCATTTGAATCTGATGTACCAGATGTCAAAAGGTCAAAGCTTATGGATGCATACTTTTCGGATTATCCAGGGGCAAATGATGGGCATGATGCTGATGTGAGTGTTAAGTCTCCTTCCTCATTCCGTGAATATATGAATTCAGTAACCCATCAAATGCTTGATCTGACTCAGAAGACGAGTCTTGGAGAAGATACTTTAGTTAGTGACAAGGACGATCCAGTAGCATTTGAATCTGATGAACCAGATGCCAAAAGGCCAAAGCTTATGAATGAAGGTGGTCCAAGTCGCAGATTCACTAGAAGCATGATAAAAGAAGCTTGTGTGTAATGTCTTGTGAATAGGGTTATTTCCAAATGAAATAATATTAAATATTTGAAAGCATCAAGGCGAAGCCATGGCAACCAATGACTTAGGACAAAAATAGATTAAAAGGGTTTTTTGGTCATATCAACTTGTGGCCCCCAAAAGGTGAAGCAATTTCAAAAGAAAAACTCTTTCCTTACCATTGCAGGATGACCTATAAAATGTTTACTACCACTTTTTGTCATAATTTTGGTGGCACTGTTTTAATTTAGGTAAAGACATTAAAAAAAATTACATTTCAATAATTATATTAAAAATAGTATTTTGGTAATTATTTAATTTTTTATTAAAAAATGAGTTGACTATCACTCTAAAGAATAAGTTCTCGAACAGAACATAAATTTGAAAATATATAATGCTATAAGATCCACTAAAATGTTTATAGCAAGGACATTCGGTTGAAAATAAAAAGATGATATTAAAACTCAGAAAGAACACCACAATGATTGAATAAGTAACTATATTTATTGTTTCCTTCATTGCATTTAGACTTCTATCACAGTTCATAAATTAGGGTTATATGTAGACTATATATTAAAAGTATATTAAATTGTTGATAAGTTTGTTTTTGAAGAAAAAATTTAAAACAAACGATAAAATCAATTCTTTTCACAAGTTGAAAATGATTTATAAATAAATTAAGAATCATATTTAAGAGAAACTAATGTAAATTTTTTAAAATAATTTGTGTATATATAAATTTTAAATTTAGAAAAAACTACTTAGTAAAATCTAATCAACTCTATTTAACACAGTATTGAGATTTATTTTATTTTTTTATAAAATATTATTGTATATATTGTGTATTATTTAATTAGGATTGACATAATTGTAAAATATTTTAATAATCTAATTAGATATACTTTTGTATCTTATAAATAAATTATATATATTTATATATATATATATATATATATATATAATTTTGTATTAAAAAATAAATATATTTCAATTTTCAAATAATAATAAATATGATAACCTTAAATAAAAGAAGAAAGGGATGAAGAAGAAAAAAAGTGTTAAAAAACACACAAAAAATTAAATTAAATATTTTTGTAACATTATAATAAGTAGCGAAAACACAAACATAGATCCATCAGTGTCTAAATTTGTATTATATTTTTCATTTAAATTTTATGTATATATTATTTTTAAAATATAAATATTTTTTTACAAAATTATGTGAGAATTGAAAAAAGAAGAGGAATTTAACAAAATGTAATTAAAAGAATGAAAAGGAAATGATATTTAGTATTTTTATTTATGATTTTATATTTGAGAGAAAAAATTGAGAAAAAAATATAAATAGAAGAAGTAGAAGAAATAAAATATAACATTATATAAATTATATTTTTTTACATCGAAAAATAATTATAAAAGAAAACTATTTCATATATTATTAGCATAAAACATATATATATATATATATATTAATTTTAAATAGAAATATTTATTTTTTAAATTATGAATTGTGGGAGACATATAAACTAAAACCAATTTTTAAAAAGAGATAATTATAGTGAAAATATAAGGAAGAAATAATATTATTTTATATTTAAGAAAAATGTGTAATAAATAGTAGTGGAGAAAATAAGATATAATATAATATAAATTATTTTTGTCTCCGACGACACTAAAAATAATTAAAAAAATTCTTTATATATAATTAATAGAAATATGTGTATTTATATTTTTATATAATTAATTTAATTTATAATATTATTTTAAATTTAATTTATTTTTTCCTTACTTTTTAAATATTTTTTCTCTATTTTTCTTGTTTTTATTATTTTTTAAATATATAAATCATAATATTTTTTTAATTATAAAACTTTTTTTTATGACACCAAAAGTGTGATATAAATAGAATATATATATATATATATATATATAATTATAAATTATTGATATATATTATAGATAATTATGTTTAGTTATTTACTTATTGTTATTGTAATTAAAAAGAAAAATACTAACTTATATTTGGTTTTAACAGCATTATAATGGATTCTTTCCAAATAACTAGAGCCCAAGAAAAAATTGAATTTGCTCATATTTTGAATGCATTAAAAACATTAACTAACCAATATAATGATATATCCGGTTAATAAATCATTTGAATTCAATTTAAAAGAAAAATAAAGCAATTTTAAATTAAGATAAATAAAAAAATAAAAAATTGAAACCACAAAAATAAATGTCAATTTTAATATAATGAGCTTGTTGGCTGCGAAGACGAAAAAGACGAACTTTTCCAATTGAGAGAAATATGGAAGTTTGAGAGAGAAGAGAGAGATGGCGGAGAAGACGGAGAAGGTGAAGGGTGAGGCGGTGCAGATAATTGAAGGGTTCGAGGTTCTGCCAAAGCTCGTGGTTTTTGATCTCGATTACACTCTCTGGCCTTTCTACTGGTTCATCCCTACTCCCTACCCTCTTTCTTTTAACCTAGTTTTACTTTTACTCTCTCTAATCTATAAAATTTCAGTGAGTGTCGATCAAAGTGGGAAATGCCCTCTCTATATCCTCACGCCAAAGGCATATTGTTTGCGCTCAAAGAGAAAGGCATTGACGTTGCAATAGCTTCTCGCTCACCAACCTCTGACATTGCAACAGCTTTCCTCAACAAATTAGGTCTCTCCTCATTCTTCGTCGCACAGGTCAATTATTGTAGTTATCTTGCCTTTTCAATCCAAATTTAACATGGCATGCATTAGGTTTTTATCTTAATTTTGATTCTCTTGTGAGTTGTGGTTTGTTCAGGAAATATATTCCAGTTGGACCCATAAAACGGATCATTTTCAGAGAATTCATTCCAGGACTGGTGTCCCCTTGAACTCCATGCTCTTTTTTGACGATGAGAATAGGAACATCCAATCGGTAATAATATATACTACTCTCACATTCCCGCCCTTCTAACTCATTGAATCATCATCATAATCTTCGTCGTATGATATTGCCATAGGTATCTAAAATGGGAGTAACTAGCATTTTGGTGGGAGATGGGGTAAATCTTGGGTCCTTGAGGGAAGGTCTTACTCAATTCTCTCGAAACTGGAATGCGGCGCAAAAGAACAAGCAGAAATGGCTTTCCAATTACTCTAACAAGCCAGATACTTCCAACCCTGCTGCATGATTTTTGACATAGTTTTCTCTCTGAATTTACTCAAGAACCACAATATGAAGTAAACTGGAATTTTTATTTGGAAAACTATATGCAGATCTTAGCATCAGCGGCACGGACTTGTAATGCCCATAGGAAATCTGGTATATCCAACGGCTATGTATTTGAGCATTCGATTGGAATTCTGTGGATTGCATTCAGAAACTAATTGATGATTTTGTTGCTGTTGTATTGCTATTCTTGTCTATGTTATACAGCGTTAATGCTATTGGATAGTAAAATTCACTTTAGGGAAATGTTGGTTAGATGATATTCCTGTTTGCAGAATTCAGCTTCTCTAGTCTACCTTTGTTCCTTTCTTTCTTATCCTCTCCCTATCGAGACTCTGGACCAAATACTACATTTGTTTTTTACTATTAAAAGTAGTTATTATGCAACTTCCACATAAATTCACAAAGAATACAATAATTTAAATAGTCTTGATCGAGTGGCCAAAGAATCAGAAAGAATGTTGCCAAAACTGTTCAATAGTTTTGACCACTCATTTGATCCAAACCTCTCAGAAAGAAACGTGTGGCAATTACTGAAACAACAGAATACAGACTGATATCGCCGTTTTATTTTCCGCTCCGTTCTGTGTGCATTTGCTAATGCCAGATGTAAGATGTTTGAAGTCCCAGCTTTCTTGTGAGACGGGCAAGCGGCTAATACCTGCATGTTCCACAGAATTTCTCAGATAACTTACCGAAGGAAAAAGTACAGTATAGCATCCAGTCAAACTGTTAAAAACATGGCTTAATTACATTTCTATTCCTTATAGTTTGGTTTAAATGCAATTTTGATTCTAGAGCTTTCCCAAACTAATTTAATTCATCTTAAGCAAATTTGGCCATTTATTGTCTTACAAAAAAATTCCAAATTATCATTTCTTTACCTGATTTTCAAACTCATAAGTCACTGACTAAAATATCAAATTTTATCCAACATAAAATAATTGTTTAATTCTTTTCTCTTTATACTTTGATCACACACCTAACAAAATCCTTTTTTTTTTTAAAATTTTCACTAAATTTCTAGTTTTCTAAACTTTAGTTTATTTCTTATCCTAAATTTATCGTAAATCACACAAAAAATTTAATAAAAAAATGAAATTTTGGTGTTTTAGGAGTAACATAAACATTAAATAGTAAAAAGAAAAAAAACTTGAACCAAAATTAACAAAAACTGGAAATACAAACCTTAAATATCAATCATTAGCTATGGACTTACGAAGTAAAATGGCGCAAAGTTTGTACATTCAATAATGGGGAACTTTTTGGTGCACGAAGTGATCACATGGCAAATTCAGTTAATCCTGCTCTAAATGTTAGGGTTTAGCCAATATATATAGATATTATTAGCTTCCTATCTGTGGCCTATTCATTACACAATTTTCAACTTATCCTGACGGCCATTTTTTCTCTAAGGATAGTTTCGATTTTGAGGGACAGTTTAATGTAGTCAACAACTAACCATGCCAAAGAGAAGTGGAAAATATTTCTGAAATTGTATACCTTTTGGGCATTTTCGTCAGCAAGATCACAAAGTTCTCTTCTGATCTACATACTATTAACCTCTCTCAATGGCCATCGCCCATCAAAATTTTCTTCAGTTTTTTTAGTTGTGGCAGTAATATGAAGACCATTTTCACTATCTCTAGCAGACTCGTGTGACTTGTCACAAACTACTGAACGCATCTTATTTTCATCTTCAGAAGTATTCAACACATTCCCCAGCATCTCCATCAATTGCATATCCCCACTAGACAACTCTCCAATTCTGCCGAAGATGTCTTCAACATGTGCCAACATATCTTCCTTATTTGTCGATACGTTCATGATGTGTTGGAGTAAATTTCCGTTCTCATACTTGAGCTCAGTTATTATGCATTCCATGGTATGCTGTTTATTCATCAATTGTTCAGTTTCAAACTTCCTGGCTTCCATTAATGATCGAAGCTGCTCTGCTTCTTGTTTTAAATGGAAGAATGATTCTTCTGATTTCATTATTCGCCTGTTCTTTTCTTCAATTTCAAGCATTGCAAGGTATTCTGCATTTTTCAAGGCATCCCTAAGCACACTGACCTCAACCCAATTTTCCACTTGTTTTGAGAAAGAAAAAGACAGCACACCTAACAAATCTTGCTCTGATGTTGTTGCTAGCTCCTGAAAGTGCTGTATAGTTCGTTCTTTATCGTCTTTAATCTTCAAAAGAATCTCTTTCTCCTGCTTGAGGGCTTGCTCTGCATCCAGCTGTGCATGAATTGCAACTTTTAATTCGTTTTCCGTGGATTCTTGTTTCGAGTATGCGATGGCTATTTCATTCTGTAGATCCTTGATGCAACATTTCTTCTCCTCTACAATTTGGATAAGACCCTCTTTCTCTTGCTTACATATTCCCACTTCTTTCATTTTCTCTGCATTGCACCTTTCCAATAAACCGATCTGCAGTAGAAGGTCTTCAGTTTTTCTCTCCTGATCCTTGATAATACAGAGAAGGCTTTCATTGGCCTGCTTAAGGGCTCGCTTATTCTCCAATTGTGATTCAAGGGAAGTTTCCATCTCTTTACAAGTTCCCTGAATTTCTTCATAGGAAACTTTAAGGGTTCCAGCAGTAGACTTCCAATCCTGTACTTCACAATATAATCGAGATATTTCATCATTTTTACAGGTCATTTCAAGTTCCAGCCTTTTTAGAGCCTCAAACGCAACACTTACTTCATATTGTAGAGTGTATTCCATCTGCATTAGTTGCTCTAACAACATTAGTTGACCCTCAGATGATTCCTCAAGCTTTTTCTTCTGTTGTTCAAGCTCTTCCTCCAACAGAGAATGTTCTTGTGCTATAGTTTTCAGAGATTTGTCTTTTACTTTCAATTGCTCTGTAGAAATTAGAACCCTATTCTCATTCTCTTCGATACCAAATGATGCTTTCTCAGAGTCTGCACTGAATGATTTGGAGTAACGCTCAACAAGTTCTGATTTAAATATCAAGAGTCCCATACGATTCTCTTCAACAGTACAATAACAATTTTCCAATTCCATCTGAAGCTCCCTTATTGCTTGCTCTTTATTGGTCAGTGCGGTCTTATATGTAACAATATATTCTTCCATCTTTGCCAACTGATCACCCCATTGAGATTCTTTAGACTTAAGAACTGAGGCACAGCTTTTATGCACCTCTTCCAACCGTCTAAGCTTGTTACGAAGCTTTGATGTCAGAGAATTTGCACCACCATTGTTGATCTGAGCTTCCCTAAGTTCTTTAAGTGAATCTCCCAATTCCTTATTATCCTGTTCAAGTTGAACAATTTTACGATCCTGTTCTCTCAACACCATCTCTTTCTCCCCTAGTGAGTTTCTCAGATGTGCTATCTCATCATTCCTCAGAATGGTCAATTGTTGTATCTCTGACTTCTTCTCCGCACACTGACTAAAAACATTCGCAAAACTAGACTTAAACTCGGATATTTCAGCCTCCAGGAGTTTCCTCTTGCTCTCTTCATGAGCCAATGCATGGTTACACATATCCAAACGGGATTGCAACCCCTCCACATTACTTGTTTGAGAATCCAACCGATCGTGCAAGGAAGACATTTCCTCCAGCAACGTAGATCTCTCCTTATCCCACTCCTCTTTGCACAATCGGAACTCAACTTGAAGCTTTTCATGAGCTTCTTCAAGATGTTTAAACTGTTCATTCCTCCATTTAATCTTATATTGCATTCTGATATTCTCTTCTTCCAATTGCAGTATTACATCATCTCTCCCTTTCAGCATTGTACCACGCCGCACTTTTTCCTCCGCTTCTGAACACTTCTTCTCTGCAGCCAACAAGAATGCCCTAAGACTCAAAATTTCCTTACCGCTGGCACAAACATTCTGCTCCAGAGAATCATTTCTTGCTCTAAATTCATCTAAAGCCAACACCAGCTTTCTATTACTCTCTTCCAATTTGACCAACCTATCAGCAGAACTTGCTTGGATCCTTTTATTCTCCGAACTCAAACGCACAATGTGTGTTTCCTTTTCTTGCAAACTATACTTCAGATCTTCTAGAGCTTTCTTCAGTTCATGGATCTCCTCAGACTTGAAATCAAGCTCACGCGCCTGTTCCTCAACCCGCTTCCTAGTTTCTAGAAATTTGAGAAATTCTTGGGCGCGATCTTGCTTCAACCCCTCAAAGAGTTGAGCTTTGAGTCGACATTCATCCTTGAGCTTCTCCACCTCTGCTCTGGCGTCGTCCAGCTCCACGTACACATTTTCCATCCCTTTCTCTCCCTTCCAACACAGATTTTAAATGTTAAGTAATATAATATAATAAAGTACACACACTCATACAGTGTTATTTGGATTCAAGCATGCATTAACCCGTACAATATTACATGCACGCATACAAATCAAAATCAGAAAACGAAATATTTGATTTTTGAGGAATTAAAAGATGGTTGAACAATGGCAAAGTTAGCGGATCTGAGAAATTGAATGACGGGTAATTGTAATTGAAAAATGGTATTGTTGAAATGTAACGATATATTACAAACAAGGTGCAGTGAAGAGTAAATTAGTTTATGAGTCTTACCTCGCGCGGATCTTAATCTGATGAGACTGGCTTCGCTTCAGTGACGATGAAACAGCGGCTGCGGCGGTAAGAACGCGCTCTTTTTCCAGTTTGAATTTCCCATTCTCAATTCTTATTTTATTCAAAAACAAGATAAAAAAAGTCCTCCTATCACTGTATCCTTCCCATCTAAATAATATTTTAAAAAATAATTTAAATAAAATCTCACCAAATTTATTTATTCTAGATTTATTTATTGTTCTTTTATACAATTTAATAATAATAAAATTATAATATAACTATTTTTTAATTAATTATAAACAATAGATTTTAAAAAAATTAAATAAAATATTATAAACTTATTTACTCAACTAAATTTATTTATTATTCATTTATAAAATTTAATTATATAAATAAAATTTGTTTAATATAATAAAATTATTTTTCAATCTTATAAATAATATATTTAAAATATTATTTAAATAAAATATTTATAAATTTATTTACTCAACTAAATTTATTTATTATTCATTTATAAAATTTAATAATAAAACATAAATTTATCCATATAATAAAATTATTTTCCGAATTAATCTTATAAATAATATATTTAAATAAAATATTTATAAATTTATTTACTCATCTAAATTTATTTATTATTAATTTGTAAAATTTAATTGTAAAAAAATTAATTTTTTAAACAATCCTGTAAATAATATAATTAAAAAAATATTTATATAAATTTTTAATAATTTATTTATTTAAATAAATCTATTTATTATTCATATATAATTTTTCTTCTCTTTTTTTATAATTTTTTTTTCTGTTCTCATTCATTTCTTATTTTTTTTATATCTCATTATCATTTATTTTCTCTTTTCTCTCTAGTTTATTTTTTTAATTAAAATTATTATATTAAAATTTAATAAAAGCATATTAATAACGTTGGAAAAACAAGTTTAATAAAAGAGAACTGGAATTTTTTATTTTTTTTACTTATTTATGTAATAAAAAACAAAAAATCAAGTGTGTGTTTATATATTAAGCAAACTACACAAACTTATTGAATATTTAACGAATCAAAGGCAATTAACTTACACTAGTTTTAAGATTGAAAGTCAAGTGAACCGGTTGATAGGTCCAGAGGCATAGTGAGGTGAGAAAGGGACACCGACACGTGTAAGTTTTTGAAAGGGATTGCATGGCTTGAATGGCAGGTGAAGAATCCCACTCTGGAGAAGCAAACTGTGACACACAAAGTTGGAATTGGAATTGGAATTGAAAACAAAAAAAAAAAGTGAAAGGGAAGTAAAATGAGAATGAAGAAATTATATTAAGGCACGATATAGCGAGAGTTTGTTATATAATTAAGTTGATTTGAGGAGTGAAAATGCGTAGAGAAGGTGAAGGTGAGGGAGAGAATGTGCCTCAACTAACTGCAAGTTCGAGCAGGAGAAGGGTGAGAACGAGAGCGAGACCAGACCCTTTCTTGTCACTGTGCAGATGCTTTAGCTTTGTCGTCGTTCTCTCTGCCATTTTCTGCATCGCCGTCAACGTCCTCTCTGCAATTCGCTCCTTCAAAAACCAATCCGATGTATCGCTCTCTCAGAAATCTAATATTATTCGCTTCTTATTCAATCTTCATTGCGTGTTGTGTTGTGTTGTGTTGTGTCTTCCAGATTTTCGATGGCATATTTCGGTGTTACGCCGTTTTCATAACGTGCTTCGTGGTTCTGGCTGAGACGGAATGGAATTTCATCATCAAGTTCTGGAAGGTTAGTTAATTAGTTACTGATTTCCTTCTTCTTCTTTTTTTTTTTCTAATTTATTGTTATTGAGTACATGCTGAGCTAATAAATAATGTTGTTCTTCTCACTTCCTGCTATCTAATTAATTTCATATACATTGCTTCACAGGTTATGGAGTATTGGGTTGCCAGGGGTATCCTGCACATTTTGTACGTTTTCTCTTCATTGATGCTTATTTTTTGATTGTCGATTCAGTTATCTTTGTTTCTTTTATTTCTTTGTACCTACATTATACATTATGTTATTAATTATCTCTCATTGCTTTAAAAATGTTATTATGTGTGGCATAAAAATTAATTGAACACATGGATAGGAATAACTAACACTAGAAAATACTTGAGTTTTTAGCTTGTAGATGTTTTTGTGTTCGGAACACTAGTATTGCCATATGGTTAGCTACTATCGCCTGTTATTAGTGTCCCAATGAATGTAGTGTAGGGCGTAGAATTACAAGATTTTATATTATGAATTTATAATGGATAACTTTGGTTTCTTAGTCTTTTTTATTTTTTTTTTATTTTTTTTTTCTATTCTGCAGTGTTGCAGTCATGACTAGGGCCTTCCCTGACTACAGCGGGGAACGAAAAGAGCTTGTAGTTCTTCAGAGCATAGCGTGCTATATGCTTCTTACTTGTGGCGTAATTTACGTTGTGTCGGTAAGATTATTGAAGAGAACAAACTAATTAGTCACATGACTTGGCTTCTTTAGTTTTGTATACTCCTACGTATAGTTTGTACATAATTCAAACGATTTAATATTATTTTATATATGTGCAAAGTTATTTTCAATTTGTATTTTGTAAATTGTCTGTTTCTTCTCCAAATTATTGCGCTGTGAATGTCTTCCAATTAGACAATATTTTTGAATAGCAGGTTCCATAACATCTTTAACTTTGTTCTTGTTTTAATACTTTCTTTTGCAGTTAAAAATATAATTCTACAATATTTTAATATATATATATATATATATATATATATATATATATATATATATATATATATATATATATATATATATATAAGCTTCCGTAGTCAATATTCTAAGAATTTATTTACCCCATAAGAATTTCTGTTACAATGTATTATCATTTGAAGGGAGTCCTTTGCATTGGTTTTCTGAAACGTTCTCGCCTGAAGCAAGAGATATCCAGAGAGCAAGCAGCAAAGGATATTGAGGTAATACCGGTATATATATTGTTTTGCGTCCACATGCATATCAGTAGTTTTCGTTTTTCTTTCATATCTATTTATTCGTAACATAACATAGCATTATGTGCAAACTTTTTTTCTTTATCAATCTCATTATAGCCCATGATTTTTTGAGCTCCAAATCTCGTTTTTTCAAGATAGTAATTAACTAATAGTTTTCTTAATTACCTAAAGAACAGAGAAAATAAATCAAGCATTTTGGGGACTATAGGATTATTACTGTTTTCTTTAAAGGATTGGATCTACTTAATTAGTGTCAGAACTTTTTTGGAGTTGAGGATCATCATTCTTCAAAATTTTATAATTTTTATATATATTTATGATTTTGAAAATTTTATAACTTATATATATATATATATATATATATATATATATATATTATGATTTTCGCGGTGTCATATTTATTATTTCTATAATCTTCTATTAGAGGTTTGGCACAAAATGCATAGTTTGAACTTCTGTTTTCTATCTTAATAACTGAGTTAATAATATTATGTCTCAGTACCTTGCATCTCCCATTTAATCCATCTTAATTTTACTTGCTTTTATGAACACTTAACAGGAGTTGGAACGGCGTAGAGAAGAACTTGAACAACTGCTTATAACAGAATAGGTTTGAAGCCTCTGAAAGTAGTGCTGAAATTGTCTCATTACACATTGAAGAAATCTCCACTGGCAACAACTTACGAATACCTGTTTACGGAAGTGTTGTTGGTTACTACTATTTTAATTGTTTATTCTATGAAACAAATATTCAAAATGACTTTTCAGCTTCTATTATTAAGAATGAATTCCCTCATAACCGATCTTCAGATAAACTCTGCAGCAAAAAAATTATAATTTGATTCTGAGATTAATAAGTGTACGTAAACAGAATTCATAATTGTAACGTTAATATGAATACTTGGATTCTTTATATCATTGTGTTAATTCAAATTACCTTTAAATGGATTTGCCAAATAAACCTTCAGTGGAAGATGCCCTTTGAAAATGGTGAAAAATCTTCCACTCTCTTCAGTTTTTCACATAAGAAATAAACTTTTTTTTTTTTTCAATTGCAAGAAATATAGATCAGCTTTTAATATTAGGAAAGATTATATTTACTTCTCATGCCGCACATTAAATGACACCGTTTTATTTTTAGAATAGACACTCTTCTTTATATTTTAAATAAAACAATATTTACAATTTTCTAACATTTATATCTCTTAAATACATGACACAGCTCCTTTATATTTTTAATAAAAATTGATATCTATATTCTTATTTTATTTAAAATGTAATATATAATTGATGATGGGATGAATCCCAATTTATTTAGTTATTGTAGTAGGAAGAAAGAATAAAATTAAATCAGCTTAATTAAGCTGGTTTGTACTGATTTCTATAAACGTTAACTTCAAGTTTGTAGGTAAAGTGTAAAATAGTTAATTATATTGTACGTATAATTGATTACTATATTATAACAATAATAGTTATAAATATAATGATTTTGAAATATTTACAATTAATTATGAATCAATAGTGTTTTACTTATTTTTTATTTCCTATCATAATAATAACTAACAATTAAAAAAGTAATATAAAATTAATAAATAGAGAGGGTTGAATGATATTTTTATCATTGAAAATATATATTTTTTGTATTCAGTCCTTACATATTAATAAATTAATAAATTATCTATAAAATAAATTTTATCTTTACAATTTTTTTAGTTTAAATATATTTGTATATATTATTATTTAAAATATTATTTACTCTTTATATATATATATATATATATATATATAAAAGTTAAATTATATTTTAATATAACACTTCAAATAAAAAATAATGTGAAAAATATTTTTTTGAATTTATAATTAATTATAAAATTTCATGCATTTTTTTAAATTAATCGAACTGATGTTTTACCTAAATACAATCATTTTACCTTTTTTTCGTTTCTATCCTCTTTCACTTGTTTTGCACCATCACACATTCTACTCTTGTGTTTTGTGTGTGTTATTTTTCATTTCACAAATTAATCTCATAAATTATTTTCACTTATTTTTTTTATCTAATTTTAATTATGTCAATTTATTTTTATACACAAAATTTAATGAAAATAAATTTATGATATAATATAATTTTTTCTTTTATTTTTTCATATTTTTTTTACTCTCTTTATTTGTTTCTTTATTTTCTTATTTAATATTTTTTTCTTTTTTTCTCTCACTTCATCTTATTATTCTAATTAAAAATATTATAATAAAATAGATTTTTATTAATTTTAAAAATTTTAAAATATTTAAATTATTAAAAAATATTATAATTTTATATATTATATTTAAAAAATATTATAAGATATATTTAAAGTATTATAAATATTTTTGTTACATTATAATTAAGAAAAAACTAAATATTTATTTTAAAATAATTTTTATAATAAATATTTTTTAAACTAATCATCCTAACTCAATTTAATTATAACTAACTCAAATTATTAAATAAAAAATATATTTACTTCATTTTTTTAATTAAATAAGTAATTAATTTATTATGATAAAATAATTTTAAATTAATTATTTACGTCATCATAAATAAAAAATTTTAATAAAATAATTTATTGTTATTATAATTTAAAATAATTAGTTAATATTTTTTAATTTTGATATTGATTTTAAAAAATAATTTAAAATATTTTTATTAAATTTTAATATAATAATTTTAATTAAAAAATAAATAGAAAAAGAAGAAAAAAACATGAAATGGATGAAAAAAAGAGAAAAAAATTATGAAAATAAAATAGCATATAAACTATAAATAGATTTACATATTTTATATAAATAATTTTTTTAATATATAATGGATTCAATTCGAAAGGAGTTTAATAAAAAAAGTATTTTTCAGCCTGCTATTTATGATTTAAATGTCTTCATAAATGCTACATTGTAACATTATAGTGTAAAAAAAGTAAAAATAATAATAATAATAGCATTACCTTAGAGTTGCAAATTGTAAATTGTGTGGTTTTTTACGTTTTTCATAAAAAAATACGCATGAGATAAATTTGTCTTCAAATAATGTGATTACTATTTTAATAAATAATCAATAGTAATATTGAATATAATTTTTTTATCCAACACAAACTTACTCAATAATTATTTCAACTCAAAATTAATTGTAGACCTATAATCAATATGAAACTAAATATCTAAAAATATTTCAACAAAATATGTATATTTGATTCTATAATAACAGTTATTAAATAAATCCAAACCATCAATAGTAAAATTCTATAAAATTACAAAAAAAAAAATCTTATATCTAAATTAAAGTATAAACCTATTCATAATTAATGATTGTATTTAATGATATACTGCAACAACTTGGTTCTTTACTCAGCGTTAAAAGCAACAAACCCCGCAAATCATTGCCCATTCGTTCATTTTAAACAAACAGTTAGAGATCAAAGTGAGTGATCAAAGTTTAAAAATCAATTTTATTTCTTCCCATTCCTTATCTCACACTGCCTCACCCTTTCTCTCTCATCGGTCACACACGCAGCACATGACACTGACACATCCATCCATGGCTTCCATAACATCGTCATCGTCTCCAACAGCAACTACTCAGTTCAACTTCCAAAACTCCAAATTGTGCTCCTCCTTCTTCTCATTCTCTAGACCCTCGCTTCCACTTCTTTCCATCTCTCACGTCGTCTCCAATTCCCCCAACAAGTTCAATTCCTACGTCCTGCGCTGCTCTGCCTCCTTCGAAGACGCCGAATGGGATTGGGAACGGTGGCGCGACAACTTCCACGAGGTTGATGAACAGGACCGTCTCATCCACATTCTCAAGGTACACACTCACTATGCTACCATGTAGAAATATCTTGATGAATGATGAGACTATATGATATCGCATTAGTTTTCAAACTAATCATTTTTTTTTTTAAAGAAAAGTCTCTAGAAGGTGCAATTTGTCAAATATTAGCGCATGTTTTGGGCAAGGCGCGGATTTGCAGCTATTTTTCGGGACATTCTGTGTGTTTCCTATGAAAAGGACTGATTGGTGCGAAAATAAAGATGTTCAACCTTACTTTCATTATCGCGAAGAAAAGCTGGGACATGCATAATTTAAGTTAAAACTAATTCATAATTGATTAGGGCATATAATATAATTTTTTTTTAAGTTTTCTCAATAATAATAAATAATTAAAAATAAGAACCCATCTTCAATTTCTTTCGTCTAATTCAAAAAAAAAAATCTATATATTTCTACTCTGTTTCTCTCTCCGTCTCCTTTTTTTTACTCTCGCAATTTCCATTATCCTATCCAGGCTAAGGGAAAATTTTCAAGGAGTTATTTGGAAATTATTTAATTTCAGCTAATAACGCATTCAAAGACCAAAACGGAAAATTCAAAGACTTACTTGGAATTTCTTTAATTTAAGACCACACATGACACTTTAAGGACCAAAGAGATGATTTACCCTAAATTTTTTGTTTGAACTTTGAATTTGAATGATGTCGCTGACACATGACAATGACGTGGTTTTGTGCACGAATAGTCTAGCTTAGATGATGCTGTGCTTTTGGAGGATTATGATACTGCTGCTACGCTTAAGGTGGCCATTGCAGCTGTAGCTTCCAATGACACTGTTGGAACGGTCATATCTCATTTAAATGTACCAATTTCACTCCCATTGCCTTTATTTTTTCTGCTTTCTCTTTGCAGTCCATTGGACGTTATTTTCCTTCCTAATATTTCAGAGGGCCATAGAGGAAGAGCGTTACAGTGATGCAGCTTTCTTAAGAGATGATGCTGGCACCGGACTTGTGAGTTCTCATTGCACTATTTTTTTTTTATGGGAAGGAATCTGACTTGCAACGTCAAAGGGTGATCCTAGTGTCTGTAAAATAATTGTAATTTGTAGCTATACTTGCAATCACATAGGTTGGAAATTGTGCAATCACATAGGTTGGGAAATGATAGGAACCATAACCATCGTATATCCCCCCCTCCCTTATTTTTTGGCAGCTTGATATGGTGGATTTGAAAATCCAACATCCCGTTACTCTCTGTTTTCAATCATCCAAAACTCTCCAATTTTTTTTGGTGAATACCTATGTTCCATACTGATTGGGACCCGGATTTGTTAGTCAAAGAAAGTGGCTGCCAAATTCTTCAATTCTGGCTGCCAAATTTTTAAAGCGAGCATGAGGTGCCCACGAGGCATTTTTTTATGGTAATGCACAGTACCAATTTTTGCTATAAATTGGTCTTCTCCCTGCAAGCAAATGCATCCCATCCCACACAAAATACTACTTCTCTTAGAGAAGAAAGAGTGGCACCAGTGAGAGGCAGAAAAACTAGAGAGTTTTAGTTTAGCTTCTGGGTGTAATTGGGTTGTGAGTTGTGAGTGTTTTGGGAGTGTTTTGTAAACACTTGTGTATTTTTCTTTTCTCCTAGTAAGAGATCCGTAGTAGTCCGGAGACGTAGGCATTATTGGCCGAACTCCGTTATCAACTTGTGTGTGCAATTATTCCGCTTTTATTTCACTTTCACGGATCCGACCATATGGGAAGATTCCGCATATTTTTCCCAACAACCGGTATCGAGCCAGGTTGTTAGTTCCGTAATTTTTGTGGTGTTACTATTCATATGAATAGTAAGTTACTATTCCGTGAATAGTGAAAACGTGAATAGTGCAAATTTTGTCGACGTTACAAATTTGCCCGCAGATCGTGTTCGAAACACGGTAGCTCACGTAAATTGTCGAAACGATCCAGCGAGATAAGTCGATCGAGTTGGAGTGATGGTCAGCAGACGAAGGAAAAATGAAAATCGAAAGGTTCGACTGGTACGAGACTTTGGCTTCGGAAAATGCGAGATAGAGGATTATCCGTATCGAAGAAGATGCATCAACCACTCACGGGGAGAAGCCGTAAACCATGAAAGAGGAAGAATGGAGACTCCTTGATAGACAGTGCTCTTGGAGTTATTCGTCTAACATTATCCCGTAATGTTGCTTTCAACATTGTGAAAGAAAAGACGACCTCGGATCTCATGAAGGCTCTTTCCAACATGTACGAGAAACCATCGACCTCAAACAAAGTTCACTTGATGAGGCGATTGTTCAACTCGCGGATGTCCGAAGGTGCTTCGGTGGCAAATCATCTCAATGAACTCAACACCGTAACAACCCGGCTTGAGTTCTATTGACATCAAATTCGATGATGAAGTACAGGCTTTAATACTTTTGTCTTCCCTACCGGAGAGTTGGAATGCTACGGTCACAGACTGTGAGTAGCTCATCTGGAAACAATAAGTTAAGATTTAATGATGTTCAAAATTTGGTTCTCGACGAAGAGATCCGGTGGAGAGAGTCGGGTGAAGCATCAACCTCTTCGCATGTGCATACAGAGTCAAGAGGAAGAAGTTCAACCAAAGAAATTGGACATGGAAAATCAAAGGACAGAGCGGTCCAAGTCCGGAAATCATCGTAGTTCCCACAACTCAAAAACGATCGAGTGTTGGAATTGTGGGAAGACCGGACACTTCTGAAACCAAGTGCAAGAGTGCACGGAAGAATCAAGGAGCAAAGGACGAAGCAAACGTTGCCTCCACCTCGGGAAAAGATGAGGCGTTGATATGCTCTCTTGAAGGCAGGGAGGAGTCTTGGGTGTTAGACTCCGGAGCATCTTTTCATGCTACCTCACGTAAGGAACTGTTGGAGAATTATGTTCCCTGAAACCTTGGTAAGGTTTACCTTGGTAATGAACAGTCATGTGAGATTGTAGGCAAAGGTGCAGTAAGGATTAAGCCGAATGGGTCCGTATGGGAATTGAAAAATGTCGGACATATTCCCGACCCGACAAAGAGCTTAATCTCAGTGAGGTCGCTTAGCTAGTGAAGGCTATACGACAATCTTCCATGGTGATGAATGGAAGATCTCAAAAGGTGCGATGACGATTGCTCGAGGCAAAAAGAGTGGAACTCTCTACAAGACTCGCAGGAGCATGTCATTTGATTGCGATTGCAAGCAAATGAAAATTCCAACATATGGCACCAAAGACTTGGACATATGAGTGAGAAAGGAATGAAGGTCATGCACTCGAGAGGAAAATTACCAGGTCTTCAGCCGGTAGATATTGACATGTGTGAAGATCGCATACTTGGAAAGCGAAGAGAGTCGGCTTTCAAACAAGTAAAAGAACCCCAAAGAAAGAGAAGCTTGAGCTCATCCACTCGATGTTTGGGGTCCAACGACCGTCCCATCCGTTGGTGGGAAACATTACTTCGTGACTTTCATTGATGATCACTCCGGAAAGGTATGGGTTTACTTTCCGAAATATAAGTCGGAAGTATTTGAAGCTTTCAAGATTTGGAAAGCTATGGTGGAAAATGAGACAGATTGAAGATTAAGAAGCTCGGATCCGACAATGGTGGTGAATATGTAGACACCAAATTCAAGAAGTTTTGCTATGAGCACGGAATCGAATGGAGAGAACCGTACGGTACGCCTCAACACAATGGTGTAGCTGAGCGTATGAATCGAACGTTGATCGAAAGGGCCGAAGCATGCGTGTGCAATCAGGCTTACCAAAGCAGCTTTGGGCGTAGCAGTCAACACAGCAGCTTACTTGATCAACCGAAGTCCATCGGTACCATTGGAGCACAAGATACCGGAAGAGGTATGGAGCGAAAAAGAGGTAAAACTCTCACATCTTAGAGTTTTTGGTCGTGTAGCATATGCGCATATCGCTGATCAAGGCGAAACAAACTTGATCCAAAATCAAAGAAATGTACTTTCCTTGGTTATGGTGAAGATGAGTTTGGCTACCGCATATGGGACGATGAAAACAAAAAGATGATCCGCAGCAGAGACGTAATCTTCAATGAAAGAGTGATGTACAAGGACAAGCATAATACAAGTGCCAGCAACTCGTAAGCGAGTGGGCCAGTTTATGCAGAGGTGGAAGATATCCCGGAAAGTCCTATAATGAGGAGTCCTCGACCGGAGGAATCGGTTGAAGAACTTGATGTGCAAGCAGAACCTCCTACTCCAACTCCCGTATTGAGAAGGTCTTCTCGGCCTCATGTGCCTAATAGGAGATACATGGACTATATGTTGTTGATCGATGGAGGGAGCTCGAAGATTATACTGAAGCTTGTCAAGCCACGGATGCTAGCAAGTGGGAGCTTGCCATGAAAGACGAGATGAAGTCTTTAATCTCAAATCGGACATGGGAACTAGTCAAGTTACCTATGGGAAAGAAAGCACTTCACAACAAATGGGTGTATCGAGTGAAGGAAGACCATGATGGTTCTAAGAGATACAAAGCTCGACCGGTCGTCAAAGGATTTCAGCAGAAAGAAGGAGTCGACTACACCGAAATCTTTGCTCCAGCTTGTAAAGCTCAATACTATCGGATCGTGTTAAGTATTGTGACTAGTGAGGAGCTCTACCTAGAGCAATTAGATGTGAAGACCGCATTTCTTCATGGAGATTTAGATGAGGAGATCTACATGCACCAACTCGAAGGTTTTTCGAAGGAAAGAAGAACTTGGTGTGCAGATTGAAAAAGAGCTTGTATGGCCCGAAACAAGCTCCAAGACAATGGTATAAGAAGTTCGAAAGCTTCATGCACAAGGAGAGTTTTCGAAGTGCAACGCCGATCACTCGTTGTTTCTTCAAGAGGTATAAGTCCAGATTATATCATTTTGCTACTTTATGTTGATGATATGCTAGTAGCGAGGTTCAGATATGAATGAGATCATAAACTTAAAGAAGCAGCTTGTCAAAAGAATTTGACATGAAGGACTTAGGCCCAAGAAAGAAGATTCTTGGAATGCAAATCACGAGAGATAAGCAAAAAGGAGTTTTGCAGCTTATCTCAAGCGGAGTACATCAACCGTGTTTTGCGGAGATTCAACATGGACAATGCCAAACCAGTCAATACACCTTTGGCTTGCCATTTTCGTCTATCCAAGGATCAGTCTCCTCAAACAAAGGAAGAAGAAGAGTTAATGGCTAAGATTCCGTATGCTTCAGACCATTGGAAGTTTGATGTACGCGATGGTCCGTACGAGGCCGGACATTGGCCATGCAATGGGAGTTGTAAGCGATTCATGTCAAATCCAGGAAAAGCTCATTGGGAAGCAGTCAAATGGATTCTAAGGTATCTACGAGGCACAACAGAAAAATGTCCGTATTTTAGAAAGGGAGATCTAAAATTGCGAGGCTACGTAGATGCAGACTTTGGAGGTGAAGTTGATCACCGAAGAAGCACCACTGGGTATGTGTTTACTCGTTGGAACTACAGCTGTTAGTTGGATGTCGCGGATACGTAAGATTGTTGCTTTATCCACTACGGAGGCCGAGTATGTAGCAGTGATGAAGCCGATAAAGAATTGATATGGCTTCAAGGATTGTTGGCGGAGTTGGGATTCATTCAAAAAGGAGTGTTTTGCACGGTGATAGTCGAGTGCAATACATCCGGCAAAAAATTCAGCATTTCACTCCGTAACCAAACACATCGACATACGTTATCATTTCATCAGATCTCTACTTGAGGATGAGATGCTAACATTGAAGAAAATTGTGGGAAGTAAGAACCCAGCAGATATGCTAACAAAGGTGGTGACTATTGACAAACCGAAGTTGTGCTCAACTTCGGTTAGCTTACAAGGATAACGAGACAAGAGAAGACTACTATTGATCAAGGTGTGAGGACAGATTGAAATCAGTCCTCAAGTGGGAGATTGTTAGTCAAAGAAAGTGGCTGCCAAATTCTTCAATTCTGGCTGCCAAATTTTTAAAGCGAGCATGAGGTGCCCACGAGGCATTTTTTTATGGTAATGCACAGTACCAATTTTTGCTATAAATTGGTCTTCTCCCTGCAAGCAAATGCATCCCATCCCACACAAAATACTACTTCTCTTAGAGAAGAAAGAGTGGCACCAGTGAGAGGCAGAAAAACTAGAGAGTTTTAGTTTAGCTTCTGGGTGTAATTGGGTTGTGAGTTGTGAGTGTTTTGGGAGTGTTTTGTAAACACTTGTGTATTTTTCTTTTCTCCTAGTAAGAGATCTGTAGTAGTCCGGAGACGTAGGCATTATTGGCCGAACTCCGTTATCAACTTGTGTGTGCAATTATTCCGCTTTTATTTCACTTTCACAGATCTGACCATATGGGAAGATTCCGCATATTTTTCCCAACAGGATTTCCCTAGTGCTAGGAGGTACCCCTGTTCTGTGGGGCTATTTGTGGGGAAGAGGAGGTGGGCAAGGGAAAATGGTTGAAGAATATTGGGGAGGGTTCAATGCCTCCCCGCATTCCTCAATGGACCGAGCTACATTTCACTTTCTTCCCTTCAAAACATCCAAAATAAAACCATGATGCTGTAAAATCTCAGGACTTGGGAGCTTAATGATATATTTTGACGTCAATATGTTTGGGCTCTTGCAGGTGGGTTGGTGGGTTGGAATGTCGAAGGACACTAATGATCCACATGGTCTAATTATTCGCATAACCCCAGAGCATGGAAGATACGTGGCAAGGAGTTATAGTCCTAGGTAATTTCTATTTCTTATGGTTCTTTCATTAAAGGGAAAACTAATTTTGGGGAAGTATGGGCTACCACTTTACCACTGTAATTATTGAAGAATAAATTATCTGAATTTGTGAAAAATATCCAGGACTCAGAAGAGTTCTACTTCGAATTTAGATATGCATGTTAGAATTTCAATACTAACTAACCAGCTCTATGTTTTTCTTTTCTGTTAGTTTGAACTCTTGGGTTCCTATGTTGTTTTGGAAGCCTTTTTATACAATTTTGGTTTATACAAATCATTGAATAATTGCTTCTTCAGTACTCTATATAGCATAGAGGTTTAAGATACTGATCTGGGTTTATTTGCTTATACTCTTGTGACTTTAATTCACCAGAAAGTAAAATAATGGTTTGAAATGAAGCACCTTTCTTTACCACCTTGTTCAAAAATCTTTCTGCATGATAGTGTATAATTTGTTTTCACCTATATATAAACAGTAGAGAAGTTTGTAACGGAGTAATTTGGTTATCAGTCTATGATATAAATTAGATTTCTGTACAACATAGGGTTAAGTTGATTTGAATTTGACTTCAACTTCCTCTTTCTGAATTTGTGCCTCTTTAGTAGTGTGGGTAAATTCATAATCTATTTTGTCCTTTGTTGCTTACCTTTGACCAACTTGATTAGGGTAAGTTTAACCTCACAATTCCTTCATCACCTTTAACCACTCGGTCATATTTAGGGGTATCTTTAAACCGTCTTCCAGTTTTTGGAACAATTGTAGGGAAACTTACTTTAAATAATTAGGGGTATCTAAATTTTAAATTGTGGGCAACCAAGACACAGGTACCTTGCTATAAGCCCTAACTGTTAATAAGTGACTAAAGAAGTAATTCATTTACTTTACCTGCAGACACCCATTGAACTATCCAAATCTAATCTGTAGCAAGTTTCAAGCATCTATGCTAACGAGTTTTTTTTTCACTCCCTCGTCATATTGGTGACCCCTTGAACTGGGTTGAGAAAGTTATCAATGATTGAATGAAGTAATTTAAAGGTAGACAACAATCTTCCAGATAATAGATATATAATTGTTTTATGAATGTAATGTTCCATAAGTTCGTGCCCTGATTTGCCTTGTGTGCTCCTTGTCCATATCTTATGGTGTTAATTTACTATGGAAAATTTTTAAAGAAGGAAATTTTAGTAAAATATTCTAACTTAGTTAATGTTCAATTATTAAGTAAATAAGTGGTTACTCACCAACCTCTCTTGAACATAGCATTCAATTTGAGAGATTAATTTTTCCCAAGCTAAAAATACGTTTTACCAAGCATATTTTTTGTTTGTAACTACCTCTTTTATCATAGAATCATGTTTTTTTAGAATTTCTTTACATAACTTGAGAAATTTTAGTTGGTCATGGTGTTGATCCTTTCACTGTAATTTTTCAGACAACTTGCTACTTCTGCTGCTGGTGTTCCTCTATTTGAAATTTTTCTAATGAAGAATAAGAATGGTGAATTTAAGTCACAGGTATCTCGTCTAAACTAATCCCTTAAATTTTTATTATTTTTGCTGGAATCATTACAACATAAGCAATCAGCATTCATCTCTAAAATGTGAGCTCAACTGCCGTAATTTATTAGCAAACCTAATTGGAGTCAAGATGGATTGTCGTTACTCATTGAATTTTTTTCTAGCTGAGAATGAATGAGTGTGCTAAGGATAATCTTCTGTATACTGTTATAAGTTTCTATTATAATTTTGTTGGAAAAAAAAAATTATCATAATCATTATGGTAGAGGAATCAGGGATTATATGCAACAATGAAATATATATATTAAAATTTTTTTAGCTGAGAATGAATGAGTGTGCTAAGGATGATCTTCTGTATACTGTTATACAAGTTTCTTTAATAATTTTATTGGAAAAAAATATTTTTATCATATGCATTATGGTAGAGGAATCTGGGATTATTTGCAACAATGAAATATATATATATATATTATAGTGTTATCGATATGGGTAATAGTTTATTCTTATCACAAATGTCATCTCCAAATTTAAAAATTTTGTTTTTCACGGCAAATTGAGATTGGTTACACAAACATATGTAGGATTTTTCTATAATATTGCTAGTTAAATTTAATAGTGAAAACATTGGCCAACTTATATTTCTAGCTTTGGCCTATTGGTCATGTTCCAGCTTGTTTGAGGATTCAAATTGAACTAAATCTTGCTTCACGGTTTACAAGTTTCAGAACCAAGTCACGCGAGTCATTTATTTAAAAGTTGCCTAATCCAATCCATAGTTCTTCGTTTGTCTTGGAATTTAATTCACAGTTTGTTGCTAACTAAATAGTACCTTTTATCTTATTCTTTCTTATGATTTTCAGGCTGTGTACTTAAAGCGGAGAGGAGGTTCCTTTAGTCCCCCAACAACATCCACTAAAGCTTTAGATGTTGCTGAGAGACTGAGATCGGTGGAGTCACCTGAAGATAGAAGTGAGCTATTTGTTGGGAGTCCTGAAGATCCGGAGGTTGTTGATGATAGGAATGATAGCTCTGATCCAACTGAGGGAATGCCTGGATTTCAGAATATCTTGAAGGATATAATCCCTGGTGTAAAGATGAAGGTTTTGAAGTTCACAACTCTAGACAAGGTAGACAAGGATATAACATCTAAGGTGATTGAGCAGATAACTGAGGAAGAAGGGGATGAAAATGAAAATGCAGATGAATATTCTGATAAAGACAGTGAGACAGAACTGAAAGATGTCAACTCTGAAACTGATGATGAGAATGAATTAAGTTCTAGTCTGGAAATTTTCGATCATGCAGAACAAAATAAAATTATTGATGATGTTTTTCAGAAACTTTCCAGCAGTTTGACTATGAGAGATTTGCTTCGAGTTCCTGCTATGTTGGAGACATCTGGACAAGATTCATTTTCATTGACAATAAAAAAAATAGTCAATCAACAGGTTGATCATGGCAAAGGGAAACCTTCACAAGCTAAATCAACAAAAATTCAAGGCCAACGTAGTGCTGAGAGTATTATGTTTAATCTTGCTAAGTTCCTTAGAATGGTGAAATTATCGTCAAAGGTAGGTCAACTTTTATTATTTGATAATTGATATGATCTTATTCTGAGTGAAATAGAAACTTGCAAATTGTAGTGTTTGCAAAGGTTGGTGCCTTCGATGAGTCTAGCTGAAAAGTTGCTTATATGATAATATTTTGCTTCAATCTTTTAGGTTCTGAAAGATGTGGGAGAATTACTAAGTCGTAATCTTAGTGGAAACCATGAAAGATTGTCTGGGTCAACAACGTTCAGGCGCATTGAAATACCAACTTCTTTAGATCCTTTGAATGGTGACATTTTAGAGAACTTTTCAATTGTAGTATTTTGAGGTGCTGAGATTGTCTGCTCACTGTAGGATTTTAATCCGAGTATGTACTGAATAGAAATTATTTTCATTTCATCAGGTCTATACATTGGTGCACATGGGCTTTACTCAGCTGACATAATTCAACTGAGATGTAGATATGGCCATTGGCAAGAAGATGGTGGGGGGAATAAGGATTCTTCCCATCTTGAGTTTTATGAGTATGTGGAAGCTTTGAAACTGACTGGGAATCCTTATGTACCGGCTGGCCAGGTAATACTGTAAATTTATTTGATAGATTTAATAAACAATGTATTTTCTTTTGCTTCTATACTTTACTATTTTGTTATATTGGTTTCTTTTTAAGGAAATTTTGAGGCCCCACTTCCTTGTTTTGATTGGAAAAAAGAATTTTGTATCTGAGTTGGAGAAGAGCAGCAAGTCTTGCTGTGTTTTTTTTCAAATTATTCTCGAAACATTTTGATGAATTTTATCTTTATATGTATAGGTCACCAGATTCTTGTAAGTAAGACAATGCATTAATCTCTATCATGCACATTGACAAGTTACATACTTAATTTTCATTTTATTAAAATTTTTTTCTAAATAAATAAGCAAAAAAATTTCTTATTTTATTTGGATAATTGATACTTAAAAATAGAAATATCGAGACACTCAAGTTGCATCTGCAAGGTAAGGATTTTTAAATTTTGATATTTTTGGACATTTTCACTCAGTTGCATGGTAAAATGATGACTTAGGTCACATGCGTTGTAGAGTTTAAACATGCGATCAAACAACATCACTGTAATTTGAATTATGAGACGGCATGGGAGCCATTTTGTGGCTTTGAATCTATTTCAGTTAGTGCAAACTATAACCTTTATTGTGGGAAAGTGTTCAATGTATTCTTTTAGTAGTTTTGTTGAGTCTTTCGAGGGGATTTAGGAGAGAATAACATCAATGAGACATGAGTTCAACCCATATAAGAGAATGACACTACTTTAACCTAAAATCTTAAGGTATTAGGTCATGGGTCATACTTCCTTATATGTTGCTCAACTTTTTCATTCTTACTCAATGTGGGACTTAACTCACACTTGGATTACCCAACAATCTCCTCTTCGAACTCACTAGTGGCCCTTCCATGTACTGTTGTTCACCCTAACAGGACACTCTTACCTAACCCTTTCATGTACATAGACCACTTTGTCCTACTACCGATCAACCTTTAGCTCTGATACTACCACTTGTTGGGTCTTTCGAGAGATTCACTGAGGAGAACAACATCAATGAGATATGAGCTCAACCCATATATATTATGGATTGACACCACTCTCAACCCAAAATCTTAAGATTGAGTTATAGGTTATACTTTCTTATATGTTGCTCAACTTTCTCTTACTCAATGTGAGATTTAATAACATCAATGAGATATGAGCCCAACTTATATAAGGGATTAATACCACTCTCAACCCAAAACCTTAAGACATTAGGTTATGAGTCGTACTTCCTTATATGTTGCTTAACTTTTTCATTCTTACTCAATGTGAGATTTAACTCACATTTGGATTACTCAACAAGTTTTTCGTCTAGTAATTAGGTACTCAATGCAGTATTGACCCAGGGTTTAATATAAGCTAAAACATATCTTTGTTGCTGTTTTAATCTGCATTCACTTTTTGAGCTAATTTTATCGTTACGACTGTATTGTATATTTGTCAAAGTGTCATGTTCCTTTCTCTTCTTAGGTAGCATTTCGAGCAAAAGTTGGAAAGAGGCATCAGCTTCCTCTCATGGGAATAATTCCCGAAGAGTTTGGATTGGTAAGCATTGTGTTTTTTCCTGGTGCCCCAGTACTTGTTCCCGTTGTTTTCTATATCATTTTCCTCCTCTTTTCACTAAATTGATATTAGTTCAGAATGAAGAAAATTATTATTATTATTTTGCTTAATATTTTGATATTATTGTCATCACAGATTGCACGCTATAAAGGTCAAGGGTGGGTTGCAGAGCCAAGATCTCGGAATTCTCGATGGGTTGACGGTGAACTCTTGATATTAGATGGAAAGGTTGTTTCTCGATCTCGTCTAATTGCTTTATCCTGCTATTTGAAGTCCGGTTTGAAATCAATCATCCTTTACTTATAGCGCAAATGGCTGAAACTTCTTGTTGATTTGCAGTACATCAAAACAGGGCCTGTCGTTGGATTTGTGTACTGGGTCCCCGATCGTCCTTTCTTGGTCTTGTTCAATCGGCTATGGCTTCAACAATAGGGTTGGCTTTGTTGTACTTGTACATGACGTCAACATGTAAATTCTTTCTACAGATTTTAATGAAAACATCATATTAATCTTCTTCTAAGAAAATATATTTATTTATTTTTCCCATCTCAGCAAGAATTGTATTGTTGGCATGGTTAGTGAGTAGAATTGATCTTAATATGCGATTATCTACTTGGCTGGAACAAAGAGCTTGTATTTACAACATAAAGTATTTGAATCTAACTTTTTTGTGATGATTTTTATGGCGTTTGTGTTTGTTTAGCACGTGGTTTCCTTTCCTTATACTTGAGTGTCTCCTTGGTAGACAAGAAGAGGGAATGAAGAGCTCGTTTGGGTTATTTCTTGGCTTTGTTTTCTCCACTACTTTACTTTTTTTTTTCTCTCAAACACTAGCATTTGTTTTAGAATAGAAAAACAACTATAGATCTCCAATCGATAAACTATTAATATATAAGCTTTAAATATTTTAAGGCTTTTTACAAATATAGATCTCTCTACTTTTATTTCTTTGCAAATTCTTAATATATTTAAACTCTTAAATAAACCGTAGTTTACATTAATGTATCATGACTTACAAAATAAAAATATTAACTAAAATAATGAACAATATTTTAAATTAAGATAACTATATTATTTTTAAGTACATAATTTATTTCAGTGATACATTTATTTTTTAAAATAAATAAGATAGTTTAATACAATTTGTACTATCCACTTTAAATTTTAATATAATGTGAAACGTGATTTTATTATTTAAAACCAAATTAGTGAATTTAAAAGTGAAAACAATATTAATAGCAATAAAAATCATTATTCATGATATATTAAAAATTAAAAAAATTATATATAAATATTTCATTTATATAAAACAATATATTATTTAATTCCATATTTATCTATTTTTGGATAATCATGGTGAAATATCTGGTTGTCTTTTCCATGCCTAATATTTATTGAGAAATTTATTGACCATCTTTAGTAAACTTTTCTTTTTAATAACCTTTCCAGACACAATATTAGAATATTTAGAAGTAAGAGTTTATGGTCATGTTATCACTAGACTAACAAGAGTCAATAATGTTAAAAAAAAACGAGTCAATGATGAAGTCTAAAAAAGAAAATTAAAAAAATTAAAAATTTTAAAAATAACAAACAAATTTTGTTAAGAAAACTAGATAAATCCAGTTGCGGCCATTTTTAGAATAAATAAATAAATTTAGTTATAAATTATTTTATCAATTTTTTTATTTTAAAAAACATATTTTTTTCATTTATATAAACATTAATTATAAATCTGAACACCTTAATTTATTATAATTTTATATTTATATTTATGTTATATCATATTATATTGTATTTTTGTATTTTCTTTGTATTGTATATAAACCCTTATTTTTTTAATGAATACATATATTTTCTTTAAAACTACATTAGTAATGTACAAATATTTTAATTTGATTGTTATATGTACTTTTAAAATCTAAAAATGATATTTTAGTTCTAATAAATTATAATATTATATTTATTTAATATTATTTAATTTTGCTTATTTTATTAATTATTATTAATTCAATGACTATTTAACTATCAACCAGTGTCTTTATGGTATAATTTTAAAATGTTGGAAAGTTTTTGAAGTTTTATCTTTCCTTTTTTATCCTGATTTTCCGTGGAATTGTAAGCACATCATGTTTTTTTAATATGATTGAAAATTCTTGCTGTTTTTATTTTTTTTCCAGGTCACATGAATGGAAGGATAACATTAATCACTGGGGAATTTTCACATTTTCCCCCTTTCACTTTTCTGCACAGCTTTTGAAGATTTTCATCGCAACTAAATAGTTATCTTATTCCATCCAAACATATGCAAACCCTTACTACTTAATTTCTTCTAACTTTTCCATTAGAATATCACGTTGTTCAAGACTTGTCAAAAGCATAACTTTACGCATTTGATTCCCAATCTAAAGAAGAGACCTATGCTGAGGTCATTCAATTCATGGATATTGTAGTTACATTTTCTCCATTCAAATTATTTCCCAAACCTAAAATTAGTTACATCATTCATCATGCAAACACTGATATTTATTATTATTTTTTAGATCTTTTAGGTTGAAATATTTATGTTAGTCTATCCCCTTTACTTTTTTCATTGTTACCCTCTTCATTGAATGAATTTCGCTTTCACATTTATTTATGATGATTTGATTTTTCTTCAGGATGTACTTATTGTTATTATTACATAATAACTTTTTAGGGCTAGGGCAAGGTCTCTTTCCCTAACAGGTGCACGTCACCTTAAGTAATAATTAAATTTCTTAATGGATTACTTGTTACTAATTAATTTCCTTAGTTAAACAATACTTAATTGGGTATCTATTGTAACCATTATATTTACACAAAAGATGAAGGTTTTTTATTCTCTCTCCATGCAACTAACTACTACAAAGTCAAAACTAAAACCGCTTATTAATCCAGATTAAAACCCAAACCCTAATAAGCTTAGTCCTTATTGCATCCCCATAGTATTCACCTTATATAATCTAACTACAACAACAAACATCGTACACTCTTAATATCTTACATAAATATTTCATATTCAAACATGAAAAATAATTTCATTTAGATATACTTTTAATTTATACTTACGAAACAAAATTTAATACAATCTACTTTAAAATTTGAACTTATAAAAATATAAAATCTAGAATCACGTATAGCAATCTCAAATTTCAAGTGGTTATATATATATATATATATATATATATATATATATATATATATATATATATATATATATATTAGAGTTTCAGAACTCAACTAAAATAAAAAATAAAATAAATAATAAATAATAATAATATTCCCTTTAGAAAATAAATGAACTCAATTATTAAAAAAAAAAATTGAAATGATTTACAGGTAAACATTATATTCATTATAAAAAGATAATTAATTTGATGTGAGGTTTTTCTTTTTCTATTCTCTCACGTATAATACATTATTTTGATCTTTCATATTATTATTTTTGCAATAAATCTCTAGTATGATCGACTTTATATAAATTTGTCACTACTAACTGATTTTTTATAAGATTTGTTCATCTTATTTTATCATAGAATGCAAGTAGGATCTCTTATAATATATAACAATTTTCTACTACATGTGGTTGAGTTCCTCCATTAACATTTTTAATTTAGATAATTTCTTCATTTATTGAGTAGCTACTATGTATTCAACTTCCATCTTAGACAAAACTACAACATACAAGTGTAAACATGTCAAGATCACTTGTAAAACCTGAATAAACATAACATCTAGCAACTAGTTTTGATCTTTCGAAACATAATTTAACATCCAAGATTTTTTTCATAAGAATCCTTTTAATAACAGTCATGCTCTCCATCACTCCTTGTGCGATGTCTGGTTTTGTACTGATCCCGGTATCCATAAGACTTCTCACTCCTAATGTATATAATACTCGAGACATTTCTATCTTTTTCACTTCATTGTTAGGACTTATACTTTAGGATAACTTAATAAAAAATGGTGTAGAAAGTGGTTTACGCTCTTGCATGTTAAAGCATTGCAAGACCTTCAACAAGTAATTCATCTAATAAAGTCAAATTTTTCTATCTTTTATGTCTCGATGAATTTGCATCTCTAAAATTTTGTTTGTTGATCTCCAGTTCTTCATATCAAACTTCCTAGTGAATTATGTCTTTAAAACCTTAATTTTAACTTTGTTGAAGCCTATCACCAACATGTTATCTACATCCAATGATAAAATGATTCTCATCAAATATATTATAATAAATACAATAATTTAAACTTAGTCTATTGAAATAAAGATTAATTATGAAGAATCAAACATCTTTTACTAACACTTAAATATCCATTTTAATCCATATATAGATTTGGTTAATATGCAACCAAGTTTTTTTTTAATTAAGTTTTCCAGTTGGACCATATCAATATTTTCTCTAAGTTCGCCTTGAAGAAAAATAAACATTTGTATCTCTGTTAACAATAACCTTATGGGTACTGGGATCCCATAGGAAATGCTCATTCACATTGTTAGCTTACTCCAAAAATGTATCATTCATGAACTTTGAAAACACAAACTCCCTCTTAATGTGGTATATACATAATCTTTTAGAGTAATTATCATCATTGGTACAAAGTATCTTGATAATCATTCTAACAAAATTTAATCTATATTACTCTAAGCTAACGATTTTTCTTATCATGCCCTCTCTTGCCATAATGATAACAAACAAGATTCTTCCTTTCTCGAGAATTTGATTCACTATGATTTTGACTCCCGCTAAAGTCATATTCAATTGATCTATCTCTCATCATCATTAAAGTCTTCGCTTTGTTTATATTTTCCACCTTACTTTTTCGCATAAATTTTTCTATCAACATCTTCAAAGTGTAAACGTCAATCAACATTATTATTTGTTATATCGATGATGAGTTGATCATACGAATCTAGAAAGTTTTGAAGTAGAAGTTTTGCACGCTCATTTTTTATCTATGTTGAAATTTGTTGTTAAAAGTTTGACAAACAATATATTCAAATTGTTGATATGATTCGTCACTGATGTAGACTCGCTCATTCAAAGAATATAGAGTTTGTTCAAAAATATTTTTTTTGTAAAGTGACTTAACCTCATATAATTTAACGAAAGATTCACAAATCTCCTTTGTTGTATCATTCTCCGCAATGTTGGACAAAACTGCATCTATCAATGTTAGGTGCAAATTTGCTATAATGTTGATATTGATTTCATTCCACCTTAGATATGTGATGTCCATGAGTCTTTCTCCAATTACATTTACACAATTTTTTTTTCTCAAAATAGTCTTCATCTTCAGTTTCTACAATGATAAATTATTCTCATTAAACTTCTCTAACTCATATTTTGTTGTCATGTTTTTAATTGATTTATAAATCGTGACTAGTACATCACATAAACTTCTAGGCAAGAGAGGTGAGTCACAAATAGACACACATAAATACTAAATCTTTCTTTAATAGAACTTTATATCTAATAATTAGAATAATTCTTCGAATAAGAATTTTCTCCAACATTGTTTTAATGATTATAGCTGAGAAATAATATTATAAACAATAAACTAAATGGTCGACCAAACTCTAATACCATTATTAGGAATCAGAATAACAATATAAGAATTCACAACTAAAATAAAATACGTAAATAAAGAAATAAAATAGATAATATGTAATAACAAAATTTTATTATCGAAAGAAATTACAATACCTTATTTAAATATAAGAAAAAAATAATAATAACATCTTTTTAACAAAATAAGAGAATTCAACTATTATACAATACATTAATAAAATGAAAAACAAAAAAATTTAAGACTATTTACAAGATAAATATTATATTCTTTTTATGATAAAAAAATAAACATCAATATATAATTTTTTATTTTTTTTTTACATGAGACTTTTGTTCTCTGCTTCTTAAACTACTTCAATATATTTAAAGTTTGAAAAATGTTTTTAGAATTCTATTTTTTTAACATTAAAATTTAACAAATAAAATAAAGAGGAAATGTTATTTTTGAGAGAGATAGTAAGATGATTTTATAAAATATTTTTTTTATAAAATGTCTTATTTATTAAAATAATTCCTATAATTTTTATATTAATTTAGTTTTTACAAAATCTAATTATGATTTTGTAAACTACTGCAAAAAAAAAATGTGGAATAGTAATAGGTGACAAACAAACAATGATTGATAATATCTCTTGAAGAAAAAAATAAAAGTTAATTGGTTGATCTGTGAAGGATAAACTTTTAAGTACCTTCGAGAAAGTTACAAGTAATTGTAAGATTATTTTGTCCTTCTTAAGTCAAATCTGTCTCTAATATAATTAATACAATAATAAAGTTAACAATTGAAAAAAAAAATTAATAAGAGAATTTGTATATAACCAATCTTAATAAATAAAATATTTTATATAAAAAATATTTAACTATTTCATTTATTATATCAATTTTTTTTAATACAATTTAAAAGTTAGATAAAAATCATACTTATATTTTATAGAGATTAAAATTAAAAAAATTAATTTTTTTTATTATATTAATATTTTACAAGAATAAAAATCATGTTTTACCCATTTACAAAAGGAGTATAATATTTAGTAAAATGGAATTTGTTAAAATGAGGGTTGGTGGTGATGCGAAGGCAGTGACGCCACGCCATCAAGTCGTAAACATCGTCACAGTTGCAGACAGATCCTGAGATATATATATATATATGTTATTATATAAATTATCTTATATGCATAAAAAAAAAAAAACCGTGGCAAAGCAAAGCCTTTGTTTGCGCGCGTTGGGAAACCCTAGGCGCAGTGCGCACCGGCAATTCTCCCTCTGCGCAATTTTAGTTCAGAACTCTTTCTTCTGCTTCTTGTTTATGCAACTCTTCTTAGTTCTAAAAAATTGCCAGAATCTTCAATTTCATTGTAGAGAGGAAGAATAGAACTATGGGAAGCCACTTCCGTACTCCGCCAGCTAAGCGTTCCGCACCCGACCCGTTTCATCCAAACGGACCTTCCAAACGCTCCAGGTCGTCCAGGCCACCTCCGCCGCCGCTCCCCGTGCCTCCCGGCCACACGGCGTTCCGCCTCCTCTGCAACGCCTCTCGAATCGGCGGTGTCATTGGCAAGTCCGGCTCCGTCATCAAGCAACTCCAGCAATCCACCGGCGCCAAGATCCGAATCGAGGACGCGTTGCCGGAGTCGCCAGACCGCGTCATCCTGATTATTGCTGACGCCGCCCTCAGCGGCAAGGTTTTGCTGAAAAACGATGAGGCCGTTGAGGTGTCGAAGGCGCAGGAAGCGCTGGTTATGGTGTTCGATAGGATCTTGGATGTGGCAGCGGAGACGGAAGGCGTCGACGTCGGGGACAGGCTGATGTCTTGCCGGCTTGTGGCGGACTCGGCGCAAGCTGGCTCCGTCATCGGTAAGGGCGGGAGAGTGGTCGAGAGGATAAAAAAGAACACTGGATGTAAAATTAGGGTTTTAGCTGATGATTTGCCGCTTTGTGCCGCCGCTACGGATGAAATCATTGAGGTATTTTGCCTCCTGCTCCTCTTCATTTTTGCACTTGTCCCTCGAACTTTTAGGTTGAGACCACTGAGGCCTTCAATCACTACTGCCAGTGTTTATTCTGCTGCGTTCTCCAGTATCCATATCAGTTTTCAGGGTCAAGCGTTTCATGTGGAGCTGGTAGATATGGTTTGCCAGTCCATTGTAGTGGTTTAGTTTTTCTGTTTAGGTAGGAATCGGTTTTCAGGGCCAAGTTTTTAGTGGTCATTTAAGATTTTAGAGTTCATTCAAGTTTTTAGGATTAATTGTTTCATCTGGAGCTGGTAAGATATATGATTTGTTAGTGTATTGTAGTGGGAGTAGTTTCTTCTTTCGAAGAATACTTCTCTGGAGTTGTTACTCGTTAACAGAATATTTGTGATGTTAGAATTAGAAAACTTCCTTTCATATTCTTGAAGCTGAAAAGGTTGAAACATCTAGAGTAGTAGGGACAGTTTGATAGATTGTCGGATAGTTGTTACCTATGGAGCAAGTTTCACTGGTTCAGCACACACGGTTCGTTCGTGCCCTCAGCACACTCATTGCTGAACACATTCACATTAAGTACTCGAACCTTTAATGCACTATTATAAGGTTGGATTTAAATTTTCATCACTTAGGATTGTTAACATGTCCTTAACTAACCAATTAAAAGACACGCAAATAGGTAAGCAGGGTTCAAATTATTTATGATGTAAAATTTTTCTTATGTTGAGAAAATATCTTTTGGTTGTGTACTGTGATAGATAGAAGGCAGAGTGTCATCTGTAAAGAAGGCACTTGTTGCAGTCTCCCAACGTCTTCAAGATTGTCCTCCTGTTGATAGAACAAAGGTAATGGGAAGCAAACATAATGAAATGGTTCAATATGAAGCAATGGATCCACTTCCCCGGGAGACTTTTACTGCAGTACCACATGACACTGTAGATCATCTTTTGCGGAGGAGCTCTGCAATGTCTACTTTATCCAGTTGCCCTAACAGCTATGCCACCAGAGTTCATTCATTCCCACCGGAAGTTGATAGAATCTCCTCCCTGGAACCAAAACAACTTCAGCAGGAAGTCACCTTCAGAATACTTTGTTCAAATGATAGAGTTGGAGGAGTTATTGGAAAGGGAGGCAATATTGTTAGAGCTCTTCAGATTGAGACTGGGGCTACAATAAGTATTGGTCCTTCAGTAGCTGGATGTGAGGATCGAATAATTACTATTACTGCTTCCGAGGTCTGATGGATATAATCGTTCCATTTTTACTTTTTGTATCTTGCAGTTGTGTGTATACCATTGTTGTTACTGTTTTCATCATCTTCTTGATCTTGTCATCTTTTTATACAGAATCCTGAGTCAAGATTTTCCCAAGCACAAAAGGCTGCTGTGCTTGTTTACTCCAGGTCCATTGAATCTGGTTATGAGAAGGTGGAGATAAGTAACAGGTCAATTGTTACTGCACGTCTTGTAGTCCCATCAAGCCAAGTTGGTTGTTTGATAGGAAAAGGTGGAGTAATAATATCAGAAATGCGGAAGGCTACTGGTGCTAGCATAAGAATAATTGGAACTGATCAGGTGCCAAAATGTGCATCAGATAATGATCAAGTTGTACAGGTTTGGAGATTATACTTTGTTTTAATTTATTTTACAATTGAAACATGCTGATGAATGCTTTTTATTATAAATTTCTTTTATGGATGGGATTATGTGTATCTTGTAACTCCAATAAATTACTCCCCCTCAAACTAGAATAAAATTATTCATCCTTCATGCTGTTACTTTTGTGGTGATAGTCACCTTTTATGCAAAACTCTTCAAACTTAATTATGTGACATTTAAATATTTTAAATTATATGTATCTACTCTTTCCACACGCATTCTGAAATATTTATCATCCTTAAGTGTTGAGCTGTAGTTTTTCCTTGCACTGGTTGGAATTGACCAGAGATCAATCTTGTTTCCCTGTGCATTTATATGTTTGCCTAAAACTCCTAATATATGTAGTTCGCTATATTTGTATAAGTCATCATGATAATGATATTTAGGTGCTTATTAGTTATACCATCTATATCCTCTTTTTCCCTCAGATATCAGGAGAGTTTTCAAGTGTGCAAGATGCATTGTATAATGCAACTGGTAGACTGCGAGATAATCTTTTTGCCAGCACTGAGAATAGTGCTGGAACAAGGAGTTTTTCTTCTATGCAAGTCGATAACAGTCCCTATGGAAGACTGCAGGATGTTGTTCCTCTTGGAAGCCAACTACCTGCAGCCATTTCTCATAGTCTGACTAGACATACTTTTGCTCATGGCATTGATCATCTTGCTCTTTCTAGAAGTTTAGATCGCCCTTCTTCCCCAGGTTTATGGACTAGAAATTTAGACCGTCCTTCTTCACCAAGACTATGGGCTAGAAATTTAGATCGTCCTTCATCACCAGGGTTATGGACGCCACCGGTATATCTCCCTCTCTCTGTGCTGTCAATTTTACCCTAATAAATTATCATTTTTTATCAATTATTTTTTATTTAAATTTGATTGCAGACAATGGCTGGGATAAATTCAAGAGGAACTAATGATTTTAATTGGGGATTGACATCTCGAAAAGGAAGCTTAGAACTTGTCAGGTTGTTGATTTACTAAACAAACTAGACTTCTTTTAATCGAAATAGCAAATCTATATATTGATCAGAAAAAAGCACCAAGGTTTCTTGTTATCTCAAATTTTAAGATTTTAATATGTTAAGTGCCTACTTATGGTAGCGTGATGTAATGGATGTGGATGGGCTTAAACATCCTATAACATTTTCAAATCATGCTTATGAGAATCTGATTAATTTTGCTGTCTTATAATATTTTCTAACATACAATAAGTACTCAGGGTGCCTTCTTGTTTGAAACTCAAGAATATTTAGTGATACTGTATCATGCATTATAAGTACTTTGTGTGTGTGATGGGAGCTGAAAATAATTTTCTTAGACAGTCGAGTATTTTTTTAGGTACAAGTTCATTTATTACTTTCGCATTGGCACAAGTTAGGAAAGGTAATTTATTATTTGAATACGTCAGAAACTAACATCCTGCATTAGCTGTTCTGTAATAAATCCTGTATTAGAATTAGAAACTACCATTTCTGTTTGTGACTTCTGTGTTTATACGACATTTGATTGATGTTATGAGTGTAACCACTATACTTGTCTATTATTTTTTGACACTGCTTTTCTTGGTCCATTGCTCATTTGCTCTTATTTGACATCCTTGCTTTGGGGTGAAGTTTTAGCCAACAAAAAATGATGGAAATAGTCAGCCGAACATGTAAAATTGAATGCCACAACTGTCAATTTCTTATTATTCTTTTTGGGTTCTGCAGTGGAAGTAAATCTGCTATCGTGACTAGTACCACAGTAGAAATTGTGGTTCCTGATGATACTATTGACTCTGTATATGGGGAAAATGGTAGCAATTTGGCTCGTCTGAGACAGGTACACAAACTTGAATAAGCTTATGTACGCATATTTTTTGTTTACTTGTTCACTACTTACCATGTTATCCTTATGAACTTTTGCTCTTGTCATCACAAATTTGATTTGATTTCTAATTATCTATCAGTTAAGAAAATTATTCTGTTTTAGTATGTCATTTTCGAAAACAATATATGATACTTCTCTTAATCATTATCAATTTGGTCTCTTGATATTGTCACCAATGGAATGAGTGAGGGGTTGATGGAATAACAATTTAATAATAGATGATAAAATAGTCTACCGTTCATACATTTTTCAATAATTGAGGTGACTAGATTTTTTTTTAATCCTTTTACAATTACATTAAATAACATAAGAGTTCAAAATAGAGGAGTATTTTGCCATGTTTTCAATATCTTTGTTTGGTCATCTGAAGTTAATATATTTATTGCGATTATCCATATTAGATATCGGGTGCGAAGGTTGTTGTCCATGAACCTCGTCCTGGAACAAGTGACAGGACTATTGTCATATCCGGTTCTCCTGACGAAACCAAAGCAGCGCAGAGCCTTCTCCAAGCATTTATTCTTAGTGGCTCATCATGACGTGACTAAACGTGTAATATCCAGCCTTGTATGATTTATTCATTCCCAAACATATCTTTGCTCAGTAACATTAGTGCAGTGTAGTGTAGTTATTAAACATCAATCAATTACTTGATTCTTTAGTGCATACCAAAGTTACACAGCAGCGGTTTCGCTCCATGGTTTCATTTAAAGATTTCATCTAATTAAATCGGATATTTATAGCAACTCCAGATCTCCGTTTTTAGAAAATGATAACTAAACTCTATTGTCGTAAATTGATGTATATGATTTAATAGCCTACAATTTTTTTTTTATGATTAGGAAAATAAACTATGATAAGAAATGTGATAACTCCAAATGAGGTAAATAGGGAAATGAATGGACAAACCAAGATACGGTATGTTGATATACTATCTTCCTAGTTAAAATTTATTAAACTTTAGACTCGTTATAAATAAACTTTTTTCTACAAAATCGATTTTATACTCAAAAAGATTGCTGAGGAATCCTCGGCATATTATTCTATAAGTGCCAGTCTGTTCACTAAAATAATTGTTATGGGGCCATAGTTGATTCGAGAGACAAATAAGGACCGTGTTTGGGACAAATTACAGGGTTGGATACACCTACCATCTTTCTCTCTCAAAACAGGCATCACTTGTCACGTAAGAAATATTGAGAACGAGAATAGAAAAATCGTACTTGTAAAAAACTAGGGCACAGCAAAAATAGAGAAATAGCACTTGTAAAAAAAAAAAAAAAACTTTTGTATATTTGGAGCACGCCGTCTGAAACTTCTTGCCATTGGCAGTCATACTTCTCATTAATAGAAAAATAATACTAAATTAAACTTCTCATCGTATAGTTAAATTCAATTTATGTACTTCTTTAGAAGTTTTTAAATGTTCTATAAGATGAGTAGCGTAAATTGATTTTTAACTGCAATCAAAGGCTTGATTCATTATACCTTTATGATTTATTTTATCGTTTTTCATAAATACTTATTAAGAATTTTATCCAAATTAGATTTCATAGTACAAAGTTTACGTGTAAGAGCTACATTTAATAGCATATTCTAGAAGAAATGGCTGTTTTAGAGAATTAATTATTTTCTTAAAAAGTTTTTATTAAAAGCTTCTTTGATATCAAAATAGTCTAAACACCCACTGATAACAATTGTGTCGATTAGCAGTTAGTCTATGGCTTTTAGGAATAGGTCAAACTATGCACCAGCATCTTTCGCTTTCCGTAAGCACATTTCAAAATCCCTATATTTGTTCCATGATTTTGGAGTTTCATGTTGACCTAAACCATTCTTCTGCTAAAAGAAGCTCTGTCACTTCCCGTATTTTATACAGAGAAGTTCTCGTGCTAAAAAAATACTTTTCAGGTTACAATTGTTTTGCAGATTTTCCAAAGTGGGGTCAGAAGTGGTGTATCAACATTTAGGTGCAGTAAGAATTCCTTGCCAATTTTGAGTTCAGGTTACAATTTTTTGGCGGATTTTCCAACGTGACTTAAGGAGTGGTGAATCAACATTTATGTACAGAAACAATTCCTTGCTTTCTATGACACTGCATAAGTTCATTGAAAACGTCAGTACCTAATCAGATGGCGGCGTAGCCAGAGTTCATACATGACCATATGAAACGCATCTAGTCTGACAGGAGGTGTATTCCACTTGAAATGCTTTTGGATCTGAACAACAAAAAGCAGAAAGTTAAAAAAGAGATAGGAAAAGTAAAGGTAATCATCTTCTGATAGAAATAGTCAACCTTTCTTTAATTTAGAAATTTGTAAGTATGATATAACTGAAAAGAGAGTAGATGTCAAACTGGCAACTCTTATACTACGATAAGCAACATGATTTCTTTTACTACTATCCAATCCTCACAATTTCTCAGTAAATCGCATAATATTTATAAGTCCGAAAACTGAACTTTAAACAGATAGTACCTTCACTAATTTCTGATTCAATCTCATGAAATGTTTCCCAGATATGCTTCTGAGAATATCTTTGAGCAGATAAACGTCAGTTTCCTTCAATATAACAGAGAATTTCCTCCAATCCAGAATATCATTAAAAGGCAAGTCATAATAGTTTGACATGATAACTGTAGAAAGACCGACAAGAGCTTCCGTTAGGGAACATCATTCAAGACAAACAAGGGAGATGGTGAACAGCATACTTTTTGTTTATGGAAATTAATAGCACAGCTTATATGTGAAATAAAACTAAAGTTTGAGGTAAGCTACAGAACCTTTTCCATAGTGAATTGCAGAAATGGCTGAAGTGAAAACTCAGAAGGTAATAGGTTAACTACCAAAGAGAATGCGCGGCCACAACCACTTTACATGTTATTTTTAGGTAAAAGATACTTAGAATAGATGCAATACTTGGCTACCAACATGATTCAGTAACTAGTGAGGTGCACTACAGAAGGGATCTCTTTACCTTAACAATTTTTTTCTTTATTATTTTTTTCTAAATATTATTCTCCTATATATTAGGTTAGCTTCCCATTCCCAGGCTCGAGAAGCAAATTAAATTTGATAAAAGAATATATCCTCACTTCTTTCAAGGCCAAAAGTAGGAGTTGGACTAAGTTGATTAGTAACTTACTCCCTATTGGAGTCTGGGGACTCTTTCCAAGAGCTCGAATAGTTTTCTGGATGCAAAAAGACCACATCCATGGCCTTGCACAAGAGATATAACCAGGTTGATAAAACGAGGAGGTAACTAACAAAAGATGGAGCAGAAGAAGTTGTGATTTTCAACTACCAGATATGGTTTACCTGGTACACACCCAAAGTGGATCGAGTCTGCGATACGACTGCTGCCGATAGGCCCATGAGGGCACAAACAAAACTTGGATTTATAAAGTTTCTCCATGAAAACCACATGCCCAGTCGCTCGAAAATCAACTCTGTTGTTCTGGATGTCTAGTTCAGTATCATTATCCCACATAGCTATTAGATCATCTTTCAATCTAGAATCAGTACGACCAGCCCAGAAAGCAAGTGTGTTCCTGCAATATTCCGTTGACATGAAATTTCTGTTTCTGAGGAGTTTTTTTCAGAGACTAATTCTGTTGGATTGATTTAGAAAAAAAGAAAAATAAAAAGCGAAGCTACCTATTCTTGAAGTCATTTCCTCCTGGAGGGTGAAAAAATGGCAGCTGCACTTGTGGTAGGGTAACATCCTTGTGTGGAATATAATCATCGTCGTCATAACTTGATGAACAAACCACTCTAATCGAATTTTTCATCAAATATGGAACTCCTTTAGTAGCCTTCACTCCGATATCGTGACAAGTCACAAAAAAATGATCAGCACCCAAGGTTCTGTTCCAATAAGGGTACTTAAACTTTAGGTACTTTACATACTTCTCTACTTCATCAATCATTCGCTCGTTAGTCAACCCCTGCATAATTCATTTGTGCATGACAGACAACTCACATCAGAAACTATGATATAGGCAGCTGCCACCTCGACTATATAACACTTGAATGTCATACGCACAAATATACCCCATTCAGAAATACTATTCGAGAATGTATTAATGATTTATGAAGAATTTAAATTTTAATCAAAATTAACTTGTAATGAAGAAACCATTAGGTATCGAGATCATTATGTCCTTAATAATCTGTACATGATGCACAATTAATTGTTACTAATTATTTATCAAAATTAAAATACTAATGTGTTATATAAAAATTGGTCACAACTGTAGACACATGATAGTTTTGAGGTAGTAAATAGTTCTCTTAAAATGATATCACCTTATACATGATGTAACTAAAAACACAGGATTGTTGAATGATTAAACCATTTGAGAACCACTAAAACACAATTTCTTTCATTTTTAGAATGGTTGTAAATCATGTTAGGTAATTCTCCAGTATTAAAATATAATTCAAATTAGTTCCTAAATTTTACTTAAATTCATTCATTTAGGAACTGAAGTGATGATAGTTCAAATACTGTAAGAGTTACTTAAATAGTTTCATTACTGATTACTTATTAGAGAGGTTAATGTTTCGTAGTCCAAATTTGTGGTATCTTCATTCCAAAACAGATCGAATCCAATGGTGAAATTGATCTTATTAAGCTATTAATAGCAATATGGCAAGAATTTAGTTACACTATTACACAATCCAAGCAATATGATTGAATAGCGAGATCACGCAAGAAAACACCTCCTGAATTCATTCATAAATTGGCTGCGAATAGTTAATTCAACTAATGCCTAATCGAAAAGAGGACATACTCTGCCTCGCATTTTATGGCAAGAAATAGGGAGGAAGAAAAGATGAGCTCGACGCGGATCGTGGGTGAGGAATCGGCTCTCTCTGATGTTCTTGAAGAAGTATGCTTCGCTGGCATATTTTCCCGTAAGTTTCCTCGGTGTGTGAAAAAACGTTTCAGGATCTCCGTCGGGATACACAAACACCTTGAACTCCTCTTCCATCTGCTCGTAGTCTAAGCGGAAAGCCTCCTCCGGAGAGTGGAATACACTAGAATCAAACGGCATCGAGCGGTGTCCATAGGAATCAAACTTCGATGAAAGGAAACGGTATGAGTACTTTATGTAAGATTGGATTTGGATGGAGAGAAAAGATGAGCACTGAGAATGAACCTGGCGGAGGGGAAAGTGTGATTGCGTGGAACAGACGAAGAGCACGAGAATATAGAGGACGTTGGCCACGATACACACAGTGGTGGCGAGTTGTACGCAGCCGCAAGAGCCGCGAGGACGATTCCTGGCCGCCGGAAAGTTTGTGATGGGAAATGAATTTCCTCGGGAAAGTGACATTGAAGCGGGAAAATGGAAATCGTTGTAACGGTCTTCTTCCTGTGTAAATGGAAGTGTTAATTGGGGCCTTAAATCTGGAGTTTTATTACAATTCTCTAAATTATTTTTATGAAACTAAAATTCAAATAAAAAAAACAGTTAATTAGTGAAGAAAAATAATAATAACTATATTGAAATACGTGATGCATGTATTATATATATATATATATATATATATATATTTAAAATATTAAATTTTAATATATTATTAATGTTAAAATTATATATTGTTGAAGATAAATAACATGAAACAAAGTTAGAAGAAAAGAAAAAATATATATTTTTTATTATTTTATATTTGAAGGAAAATATAAAAAAACATATGTGATTAAAAAAATATAAAAACCTTATGATATAAACATAAATTATATTTTTTGCTCTTTTATGAAAACAATTATAAAATAAATCTTTTAAATATAATTATAGATTATAATACAAAATTGAAACTAGTTTCCAAACTATCAAAGAAAACAACTCTCAAATGAAATGATGAATTTTGTTTATTCCATCTTTACATGTTTAGTGCGTTCACCGTTATTATGGTGGAATAAAGATTTAAAAAATATATTAAATATTTTCGAATTATATATTTTAAAAAATATATTTTGAAATCAGGATTTTAGAATACATTTTAGAAAGTGAAATTTGTAAATTTTGTGATTATTTTAAATTATTCTTTTCCAAAACATCTCACAATAAAGTTATTATTATCAAATAAAGTCTTCCAAACCATTTGAATTTTTGTTTTAAAAAAACTCTGCAAAAATATTTAAATTTCATTTTCCATAAACAATTTGAAACAGGACATTCTCTCCTTTCAAATCTCATGGAAAGGATGTCATAATTTTGTGATGAAAAATCAAATATAACTTACCCTATCTTATAATAAAAGATTAAAGTTTTACAAATAATACTTTAATTATTTTTAAAATTTTATCAAAGCGGAAGAATAAAGTCATGTCATCATTTTTAAATGCAAAAAGTACAACAACAAACGATACTCGCTGATGCAATTAAAGAAAAGAAAACAATTAATAATGAATTATTTTTCATAAGCAAACACTGTCTTGCAATATAAAATAATTTTTTATCATCATTTCCTCACAAACTGTTATATAATAAAACAATTGTTTTTATAATAAACAATATTTTATGGTAAAATTATATGTAAAATTATTACATTTTCTTATATAACTATTAAAGTTTTTTCATTAAAAATGTTAACAAATACTTAAAAAAACTCTTTTGCAAATTTTGAACATGTTAACATGTAATTTTTAATAATAAATATTTTAACTCTTGATGTTCGTCAGAAATATTTTCGGTTGATGAGAAAACCTTTAATTTACTGCTAATACAAAATTGTAAAATAATTTTTTTATTTATATTTTATTTACCTTTTAAAAAATTGTAAAATAATTATATTTGATTTATCTTCTTAAAAACGTTTATTATTTTATTTTTTGAGAATAGTTTTTGACAAAATTTCCAATTTTTTTAGAAAGAAGGTTAAAGCGTACTTTCTTTATAATATTACTTTTATTAAACTATTTCATAAAATAATAAATTATTTTTTTAAGTAAAAACATAACATTAATTCTTAAAATTTAATGACTTCTAGAAATCATTACTTCTCATAAGTTAAATCATCCCGTATAAATATTTTTATAGTAAGATGAAAATATTTTTATTAAAATAAAAAATATTTTCCAATTTTATCAATGTGTTCACATGTATTTTTTTTAATAAAAAAGTCTTTTTATTTTTATATTCATGTTCTTAGGAAACATTTGATAGATGAGGAATTTATTAATTATATGTGAATATAAAGATTGTAAAACAAAATTTAATATTTGATTTAATTTAAAAAAGATAACATTTTTTATTTTCTTAGAATAAATTTTGGCATTTCGAGAAAAAATCTGTTTTAGGGAAAATAAAAATCTAACTTTCTTGATAATATTAATCTTATTAACTTTCAGAAATCATAATCATCCCCGTATGAAAATATTTTACTTTTATTGATTAACAAGACTAGTCTTTTTTCAGATTAAAAATAATTTTCGTTTTTTTGTTGTTGTCAGTTTTCTTTGATTTCAAATTTCAAACTTGTTTGTACCATTCATTTTATTCACCGTCCCAAGCGTACAGAAGAGAACACGAGGGCAAAATAGGGTTTAGGCTGCGTTGTGTTGTGTGTCTGAGTTACCTCTTCTCGAATCCCCACTCGCTTTTCATTTCTTTGTTCCTCAGTTGGCGTGTTAGCAATTAAGCAATTGTTGCAGCTTAAAACCCCGCACCTCTTGCATGTCACACACAATAAGTCTCAACTCTTATATCATTACTTAGTCATTCATTTTGAACTTCTTCAAACGCCAAATACAAATTAGAATTTGGATTAGAGGGTGAAGGAAAGCCGAGTCAGCGTCGGGAAGGAGAGTCCCACTCCATTCTAATCAATCCATCTTTTCGAACCAAAACCCTAACTAGGGTTTCATCCTTCGATTGATCTATTCATCGATCATGGCAGAAGAGGTTTCTTCTTCTTCTACTACTTCTCCCGCAGCATCTGCTACTGCTCCTCTTGGTTCCAGCGTGATCTCCCTAGTGAACCGCCTTCAGGACATCTTCGCCCGCGTTGGCAGCCAATCCACCATAGACCTCCCTCAAGTCGCCGTCGTCGGCAGCCAGAGCAGCGGCAAGTCTAGCGTCCTCGAAGCCCTCGTCGGCCGCGACTTCCTCCCCCGCGGCAACGATATCTGTACGCGTCGCCCCCTCGTCCTCCAGCTCGTCCAGACCAAGCGCAAGCCCGACGCCCCTGATGATGAGTACGGCGAGTTCCTCCACCTCCCTGGCAGAAAATTTCACGATTTCTCTGACATTCGCAGGGAAATTCAGGTGCTTAACTTTTTATCTCTAACCTATATGTTTAGCTTTTACATGTTTGTGACGCCGACAACTTGTCGATAAGGGGTACTCATTAGGTGGTGATCGTTTTAGGCTAAAAATAAATAATAGCGTAGAAGTAGAATATCATTATTTGCTTGGTCGGTTGGCGTTTACTGTGTGTTTTGAATGACAATTGAACATTAGAAACTGCTTTCCCTTTTGTAACGTTACTTTCACTTGCCGACCTAAAATTGGATGGGGAAGAGAATCCTTAAATAAGGAGGGTGACCCTTTCAATAATGTTTTTTTTTTTTCACTCTTTTTTATTGTATCCTGTTTTATTTACCTGTTTACCCACTATAGACATGGTACATACTCTGGCAGTTGAACTTGATTGTGATCCGATGGTGATCCAGGGTGCTCATGTGCATATATTATATTTCGAGTTTATATTATGTGTTACTGGCTTCCAATGCTCCAACTGTAAAATGGAATAAATTAATACGTTACTGACTTAATCCTTTGAAACTAGTAAAATGGAGTAAAATTGAATGTGTAAGTTAGTAGAATGAGCTTTGAGGAACATTGTTTGCTTGACAGTCTAGCTTTCAGTGTACTGTCAACATCTTTACCATATCAATAGGAAATACAGTTTTGGTTGAGAGTCTATTCCGTTCGAAGTGATTTTCATGCTCTAAGTTTGAAATTTTGTTAAGTTTAAGATGTAAATCATTTACATCTGTATAGAGTGTAATACCGTTCCTGGTGATGTACTGATAAGTATATGGTGTACTAATTTGATTATTTTCTTTCACCCTTATAACTCTCTGTTGACATTTATGTCTTCACTCTCTTTCTGTAGGCTGAAACTGATAGGGAAGCTGGAGGGAACAAAGGTGTCTCAGACAAGCAGATTCGACTGAAGATTTTTTCACCCAATGTTCTTGATATCACGCTTGTAGATCTCCCAGGCATTACGAAGGTTCCTGTTGGTGACCAGCCTTCTGATATTGAAGCTCGAATCAGAACAATGATCATGTCATATATCAAAACTCCAACATGTCTCATTCTAGCTGTCACACCAGCAAATTCAGATTTGGCTAATTCAGATGCTCTTCAGATGGCAGGGATTGCTGATCCTGATGGTGAGTTTTTACTTCCATGTGTCTGAAACTTTAATCTTTTAATACCTCCTAAAATGGATTTTTAAAGGTTCTTGTTTCCCTTGTAGGCAATAGAACAATTGGTGTAATCACAAAGGTTCAGTATACTCTTCTAAAATTTTTCTGACAGACCTGTGAACTTTGTTAAGCTGTAGCCTTGTTCTGACAATATTGAGCACTTATTATTTGGAATGTAGTTGGATATCATGGACAGAGGTACTGATGCCCGGAATCTTTTACTGGGAAAAGTTATCCCCCTCCGACTTGGTTATGTAGGTGTTGTAAATCGTAGTCAGGAGGTAATCATGCTATACTATAGTTGTAGAAGCTCTGTTTAATCAGTTCCTTTGGCTATGTTCTTTAAGTATTTTGTTAATAATACTGGTCATTGTATACTAATGCCTTACATAATGATACTTTGTAAATGCAAATCAGTAAATATCAATGTGCAATTTGCTTGATTTGAATGGTGATAAATATGTATACTGATTGCTGAAATATATTTTGGCTATTGTTTCATCATATTAGGATATTCAAATGAACCGGAGTATAAAAGATGCTCTTGTTGCTGAAGAGAATTTTTTCCGCAGTCGTCCTGTAAGGAAGTTCTTATGTGTAGTTAATAATCAAGTTCTTTTGCTCATATATACTTACTCTTATCTATTCATGTTATTCATAGGTATACAGTGGTCTGGCAGATAGTTGTGGTGTTCCTCAACTAGCAAAGAAGTTGAACCAGGTAGAGTCTTCATGACAATGAAAACACGAACAGTCTTTGGTTATATATTTATTGTATAATACTAGCCTTATTTAGGGATTTCAAATACAGAGTAAAAGTTTGCTTCAGTTTTCACACTTTTCCTTCTTTACTTGACACTATTTATTTAGGTTTCTTCTTTATACAGCCGAAAAAATTGTTAAATTATATCCTTTATCCATAGGAGAGGGTAACAAAGCAATGCACTTAATTGTTTCACGTTCAATGTTGATTTTAGTGGTGGCTTTGGAAATTTTCTTTTATTCATTTGTATCTTTTTTTTTTCTTTTGAAAAAGGAGAAAAGGAAGGAGAGTGAAAGAATGAAGTTTCATTTCATTTTAGTGCCGTGAAAAAAATGAACTTTATTTGTTGCATGGGTCTGTTAAGTATAATAGTTTGAAGAGTGTATGCATAGCAAGATTAATGCTATCTTCGAGTAAAGGCATACTGTGTCAAAGTTGGAGAGGGAATATTGTTAGATACTTCTTGGATAAAACTGAATTGTTCCAAATCCCATAAAATATTAAACCCTTATGAATTGATACCAAGATTGAGGTTTTTGGTCTAATGCAGATTCTAGCTCAACATATAAAGGCTGTGCTACCTGGGCTGAGAGCACGTATAAGCACTTCATTAGTCTCTGTTGCAAAGGAGCATGCAAGCTATGGAGAAATCACTGAGTCCAAGGTATGTGTTAATACTGTGATGTGTCTTGGATATGTCCCTATGACCTGTTAAACACTTAAATAGTTAAGTATGCCGTATTAATATTCTCTTGTTTTTGTTAAAAAACAGCATTTTTCTAACTTTGGCTGTAATTATGCCATGCATTATTTATAAGTGTTAATTTCTGACAGGCTGGTCAGGGTGCACTTCTCCTGAATATTCTTTCAAAATATTGTGAAGGTACTGCTATCCCAATCTAGTTTCTTGTCTTTCTTTCATGAACTTGTAGTTTCCTTTCCTTTGTACTTGTTAAATGGTATTCCACATATTGTTACTTTTCCCAATCAAGTAAATGCTATCTGCAATTTCTTCTTAAAAACAGCATTCTCCTCAATGGTTGAGGGAAAGAATGAGGAGATGTCTACGTCCGAGTTATCTGGTGGAGCACGAATCCATTATATTTTTCAATCCATCTTCGTCAAAAGTTTAGAGGTATATAATCCTCATGTATTTGCATATTGCAATGTTAGAAATATGTCTTCTCTCATGCTACAGTTCAACTAGAGATGGAAAATGTGGAGGCTATAGTTAACCATTAGCCTCTCAACCTTATCGCATTTCATGTATGGATGCATTATTACCCTATCTTTTGTTATTATTTATATTTACTACTTAATTGATAATCAAACATTGTTAAACCAATAAAATTGAATATTTTCAATCGTACGTATGATTTAACTATTGAATTGAAAATATGCAATTTCATTTTTTTATTGTAAAACAGATTTTCATCTTCATTTTGTAAATACTATGTGGATTGTTATTATTATGTTGTAAGCAAATCAGAGTATAATTCAATGTATTTCAAGGGAAAGAGAAATAATAATTTTATTATTAGCACAGCTATATGATGTCAGTTTCAAGCAATAGACAAAACGTGCTAATTCCTTGTGTAACTTAATGCTATCATGAAGGAGGTGGATCCATGTGAAGACCTGACTGATGATGACATCCGCACTGCCATACAGAATGCTACGGGGCCTAAATCAGCATTGTTTGTTCCAGAAGTAGGTCTTTTTACCATACCTTTTTCCTTAAAATATTAGGAGATAGATATTATATTTTAAACTTAAGAGATACGAATAATATTTCAAAATTTATTTGTTTTCTTTTTATAAATGTTTTAATTTGTCAATCCAAATTCATAAATGTTTGTAAAAATCCCCTACTCTAGAATAAGTTTATCTATTTATTTCAATGTAATTAGGTGCCATTTGAGGTCCTTGTGCGAAGGCAAATATCCCGTCTATTGGATCCAAGTCTTCAGTGTGCCAGGTTTATATATGATGAATTAATAAAGGTAGTTACAGGGCTTTAAGCTTTCCATCTCTGTTGTCCTGCTTTTATCAAGTATGTGCCTAAACAAAATCCGTTATCTTCAGATCAGCCATCGCTGTATGGTAACTGAACTGCAGCGATTCCCTTTCTTGAGAAAGCGAATGGATGAAGTTATAGGAAACTTTTTACGAGAAGGCCTTGAACCGTCAGAGAATATGATTGCACACATGATAGAAATGGAGGTATGTTCAAATTTAACTTGTTTGAAGTATAGATGTACTTTCTCCATCCTCTACTCAGAAGAGCTCATCAAAATTTGGTTGCTGGGCCAAAACATGGTGTCACTTAAGCAATACCCATAATGTATTTTAACTTTCAAGTGATTTTTAGTCTGAAACTAATGAAAGTGTCATTTTTGGTATAGCTTTCATTTTCAACTGTAATTATGTAGTCAACCCCTTGACTATCTTAATACTATTCTACGAAACTGAATGAGCCATTTATTCCCAATGAATTTGTGAAGTTATACCATTGGTGTGTATGTTTAGCCTACAGTTCTTAGAATGTATTTCCTTATCAGTACTGAAATTAGTTGACATAATTCTTGTTTAGTTGACTAAGCATGACCTGGGATGCTGTGCTAGAATATTGATGATTGATTTTCTCTCCAAAAAGAATGGGAAAATGATCAAAATTAAAGATCAATCTAGTAGAAACCATTGACATGTCACGAGCCTGTCAGTCAGCTTATTCATGTCAATTGTGATGGGCAATCTATTAGAGTAAATCATCAATTTCCATGTCCATTATTTCTTATTTAAACTGCTCAATAATTCTGCAGATGGACTACATAAACACTTCCCACCCAAATTTTATTGGTGGAAGCAAGGCACTAGAAATTGCTGTGCAGCAGACCAAGTCTTCTAGGGTTGCTATACCAGTTTCTAGGCAGAAGGTATACTTATTAAGAGATCTAGTTCCAAATGTGCCCCACCTTTTCATTTTGAGCTGTGTACTCTAATTTATGCAAGCCTTTATTTTCTTTCCAAATTTTCTTATCAATCTCCTATAGGATGCGCTGGAGTCTGACAAGGGATCAGCCTCTGAAAGAAGTGTGAAATCTAGGGCTATTCTTGCAAGACAAGCTAATGGCGTAGTTACTGATCCGGTTTGTAATTGTATAATTGACAAATAATTTACCTTATTTTCTTAGTGTGAATCTAGGTAAGGGCTACTAAATTTAGTATCTCATTATTATTACTGCATTTTTATGATATAAATGAAAAACAGGGTGTCCGTGCTGCATCAGATGTTGAAAAGATTGCACCCTCTGGTAATTTACATGTTCTATTTAATGGTTTTAAGCTTATCCTTTGGTTGTCCAATCTTAGTCAAGTGATTTTGATTATCTATCGGTTTTATTATTATTTTAAGACGTTTACATTTTAATGCTTAATATCTTTCAGGAAACACTGGTGGATCAAGTTGGGGTATCTCGTCCATTTTTGGTGGAGGTGATAGCCGAATGACTGTGAAGGAGAATGTAGCTAGTAAACCACATACTGAACCAATTCACAGTGTGGAGCAATCATTCTCTATGATCCATTTGAGAGAGGTATGTGTATATGACACATTTATTGTCAGCTTGGCCTTGAACAATGTTCCATAGTTATAAATTCTATAATGTGCTTTGGATTTTGTAGCCACCTCCTATCTTGAGGCCGTCTGAGAGCAATTCAGAGACAGAAGCTATTGAAATAACAGTGACAAAGTTGCTTCTGAGATCATACTATGACATTGTCAGGAAAAATGTTGAGGATCTTATCCCCAAAGCAATTATGCACTTCTTGGTACTTTACTATCTCACCTCCTTATAATAAGTATTTCAATTATAAATATGTCTACTAGATCTGAGATATATTGTCTCTCCTTCCTACTGAAAATGGTGATTGTACTCAGCAAGTTTAAATCCAGTTGGTTTTATTGAGTAGGCACCTATTTTTTTGCACTGTTGAAAGCGATATCAGTAATTCCGATATCTCATTTACGAATACAACTATATGAACTCTGCATTTCACCTGTTTTTTGAGACAGGGTGTTCTTTTACTTATGTTCTTAATAATTGATTTGATAATGTACTCTGCTATTTATTTTGAAGTTGTCGAGAATACGTGAATTTTCATGCATTCAATAAACACTGGTGACTGTCTTTTACAAAATCATATTAGGTAAACAACACCAAGAGAGAGCTGCACAACGTCTTCATTAAAAAGCTATACAGGTAACATATATTGGTTGTGACATGTTAATTCATTCTGATATATCCTTCTCCAATTTTGATTGTTGATTGTACATTGTGTGTTAAAATTCAAACCAGAGACAACCTGTTTGAAGAAATGTTGCAAGAACCTGATGAGATAGCCTTGAAAAGAAAGCGCTGCCGAGAACTTCTTCGAGCTTATCAACAAGCTTTTAAGGTTTTGACAGTCTTAGCACTTCTAATGGTCAATGTCTTTTACAAAATTTGTTGCTTTATCATGTTGCTCATCTAGTTAGAGATGTATTTTTTAAAGTGGTGAGAGAAACTAATCATGACCCTTAAATCATATACATGAATGGTCAAAATTAAAGTTATGTGATCAGTTGAAAAGGTTACCGAATTTAGTTTTAGTCTTAATTAATAATCCACGTATCATCTAATTGTTGAGTTTTGTTTTCCCATACTATCCCAGCAAACAACTGCTCTAAAGAAAAAAATTGGTTCTGATTTCTAATTGATAACTTCTGACAATATATGGTTCACGTTGTGTACTCACCCCTTCATTCTGTTTGGAACATTGGGATTCTGTGAAATAGTAAGTCAACAAGGGTTGTAGGTTACAACATGATGTACCTTTTCTTTTATAAATGCATGTTTGTGGTTGCAATATGACGTGATGCTTCTTTTCTACAAGCATGCGTTTTACTTGTCAGCAATGCCGATTTTCTTCTCATTGCTTCCAGATGTATATAGTTCAAGATTTATTTTATTTAGGTTTTCTACCTAACAGAATCAGTAACAATATATATGGTCTGATAAATGTATTACGTGTTGGTAGGACTTGGAGGAACTGCCAATGGAAGCTGAGACAGTTGAAAGAGGATACAGTTTGCCTGAAACAACTGGTTTACCTAAAATTCATGGATTGCCAACATCGTCCATGTACTCTACCAGCAGTTCTGGAGACTATTATGCAGCTTCTCCAAAGTACTCCAAGTCAAAAAGGTCTTCACATTCTGGGGAACTTCAATCACCAATGCATGCTATTCCAGATTCCAATGGAAGTGGAAGGCCATTCACGTCAGGATTTTATCCCACGGTTGATGGATAAGCAATAGGTCAATGAGCTCATTGGTTGGTGGAAGACTTAACTCGAGCCATTTTATTCATTTGATTAATTACACTGCGACTTTCGGGATATAGAGAATTCGGCCTCCCGAAGCTGGACTGCATTAAATTACTCTAATCTAAAATGGTCTTGTATGTTGGCCACTGCTTTTTCTGCATAAGTTCAGTTTTTCTTCTCATATAGCATTGGCATTTTTTACAAGGCTTCAGAGAAAGAATAATAGACCAGGTGATTTCACATTTTTGAGAATCAGCTTTCGATATATTCCTGTATATGACCTTCTCTTTTTGGTTAGTCAGATGTGTTTGTCATCAATCGATCGACAACTATGTAGTTCGAGTTGTTTTTTCTTAAAAGAAATTGTGGTGAATTGCATTTTTGAAGTAATAGCAGGTCATGGCTGTATGAATTTGCAAGCGATTTTGTCTTACCAATTGTTTATAACGTAGGGTTCGCGACTGTTGTTGCATTATTATATAACGTACGATATAAGTTCCACTTATTTGATGAATTTTACTTATCTTTCAATAGAATTTACATAATTTATATTTAATATTGGTGTAGTATAGAATAAATATTATTCTTCAAAACTTTATTGATGAAGAAATTATTTCCCTTAAAAATAATTAGAAAATTATAGTGCTTAGTTTAAGAGAAAATGAAATAAACGAAGTATGGTTTTTTTCTTCATTCACTACAGTGCTACTCGTCAATATTGAATTTGTGTCATATTTCTTTGTCCGCTTTTTCTTTCCTTTATTCTAAACAATGTATAAGTATATAACAATGTCTTTAAATTATAAATGTTTAATCGGTCTAAACACATGCTTTCGTTTTCCCCGACACCGAAGTGAGTTGTACAGAAGTGCTCCTGAGCTCAATTTTAAATTTGTTTATAGACTTTACTTTCAACCAGATTGATAGTGATTAATGTTTGAGCAATGAATGATATGTAACACAATTCAAAATTCTTAAACATTCATTATCACCCCAATTTAATAATAATGCAATAATAAATATAAAAATTTAAATTTTATTAATATTATATTAATATATATAGAGTTATTGGACGATAGGAGAAGTAGGACTATTTCCTTCATATTTTTAAGCTTGTCTTTCAAAAGACTTAAAGGTATTTCTTCAACAATTTTTTACTTTTCTAATTCGTGAAAAAATAGTTTATTTATATATTTTATTTTAAAATATAAAATAAAAAGAAAGATTAAGAAAAAATTTTTTAACTTCAGTAGGACTATATAAGAATCTTCTACTGAAGTGATAATTCTACTCCATTTGAATAGAAAGCTTTTCTGTAAGTTTCTAAAGAATAATGATAAGATAATAAAAATAAAAAATAAAAGAATATTGTAGAAGCGATGAAAAAACATTATATAAATAATGTTAGTTTATATAAGTTACCTGTATAGTTGTATAAAGGGAATTTTTATTAAATAAAAATAATTTAATTATTTAATAAAATATAAATTAATAATTACACATTTTCTACTAAAAAGTAATCATATGTTCTTTATACAATGTAATTTCTTAAACTTTCTTACTGAAATGATGTCATTTGATTAAATATTTTAATAATATATAATACAAAAGTTTACTTTTAATGTTTATTTCTATATAATTAAAATATAGAACAAAATAAATTATTGTTTATTTAAATTATTATTTTTATATAATAAATAATATTATATATTATTTATAAATATAATTAATATATTAAATAAGATAATATGATAAAAAAGTGTGGATTACATATCTATTTTTGCTAGTTTTGAAAATAATAAATGTTTTTATTTTAAATTTTTATTATTATTTGTGAATCATTCTTTATTATTATTATTATTATTATTAATTATTTACACATTTGCATATTTTGAATATAAAAAAGTTAATAAATGTTATACTTTTTAAATGGTCTCATTGTATCAAATAAAAAACCATTAGAAAGAAGTCCCAACATCTAACAAGTTTGACTAAGTTTTTTTTTTTAATTAAAAACCATCTAATTATAAGTTTCCGTAAAATAATTCTTATTAATAGAGAAGTAGACACCATTCTTCAACTAAAATTAAAAAAATATTTTATTATATCGATCAATAATGACAAATTCTAATTCTAATAATAGAATATTTACAAGAGTACTTAAAAGAAAGAAACTTAAATAAATTATGATGAAGTTGACACCATAAATAGTATATATATATATATATATATATATATATATATATATATATATATATATATATATATATATATATATATATTTGTAATCAATGATACAATCTTTATTTATTGTATTCGGTTATGTTTCCTTCACACCAAAATATTCACCACAGTTCATTATACTAATTACATAATAATATTTGTTATTATATTTATATTTTTGGTTGTTAATATCTTATAGAGGTTCTCTGTATTTGATGAAACAGAGTGAAAAAAGAGACACTCCAATGTATCAACAACAAAGTTTAGCCTCCCATAAATGCGGGTTTACAAATTATCTAGGTCGACTTATATAATAATTAAAATAATTTGTTTTACAATTTTATTTATTTTATAAAACTTCAAATCATAAAAATTAAAGTAAAATATAATATAAAAATTTAATTATTATAAATATATATTGAATATCTGTCTTTTTTTCTTTTCTTTATAATAAATTAGGTTATTAATAAAACGTTTTCTATTAAAAAATATAATATTACCTTAGTCTTGTTTAATGAATTCTGTTGATAACTTTAAAAATTTTCTACTTGTGTTCAAAATTTGTTTTAAATAATTAGATATAAGATTCACGTGGCTATTTTATAATTTTTTTTCAATCATAATTCATTTTAAATCAAATTAAAAATAAAAACTAAAATAAAACTAAAATAGGTCAGAGGTTAGGCCAACCTAAAATACCTGAGGGACCTTTTTTTTTTTTGACGTTCTTAGACTGGTGGGATCTTCTTCCTACTTTCTCCGTTCTTTTATTTCTGGTAAACTGCTCCAATCAATGAAAGATGAGATATTTATCTTATTCTTCACCACACAACTCAAATTCACTGACCACACACAGAACAAGAGGAAAAAAAAAAACACTAAATTCACTTGCATGGTTATAACTGCAATCTGAAGGCTACTGCAATTACAGTTGCATCAACCTTATTTTGCTACAATATCAAATATCTCGTGAACATACCCATCGCAACAACACCAATATCAGTGACAACTGAACACGGTCTAAGATTTGGAAACCATTTCCACCAAAGTGTTGAAATCTTGTGCTGCCTTCCCTTGTGGTCCACCTGCATCTAGCAATTTTCTCTTCAATTTCTCTGCATTTGTCCTCATCCTCTTCCCCTCTTCCTCCACCAGAATCAGCCTCAAGCATTTCAGCAACCCATCTTTGTTGAACACCCTACCTTCCACTCTCATGCCAATCTCCCAAACATCCTCAACCATCCTCCCAGTAAACCCGTGGTCCCCAAAGAAGGGTCTGCATATCATAGGCACTTCATTGGACATGCTCTCAAACACTGAGTTACATCCAGAGTGAGTCACAAACACTCCCACAGAAGCGTGTCCCAAAACCGGAACCTGAGGGGCCCAAGCCACAACTTTTCCATTTCCTCTTGTTCTCTCAAGAAACCCTCTTGGCAGAAGACCCTTGAGATGGTCCTTGAGAGACCACAAGAAGGGAAAACCACTGGCTTCCAATGCTTCCGCCACCGCCACAATCTCATGCGGAGGTGGTGTCACCACTGTCCCAAAGCTAACATATGCCACTGACCCACCCTTCTGCTTGTCCAACCATGACAAACACCCAGTTCCATCTGTGTCTGATGGAGGCAAGGGTGGCAGAGGCAGTGAAATGGTGAGAAAACCAACGTAAAGAAAACAATTAAGCTTTGACCTCATGTCATGAACAAACAAGGGTGGGTCTAGTTCCTCAAAGAAATGCATAACCACCGCCTTAGCTTGAGGTAACACACTTCCCAAAGATGCTAGTGTCTTTGAAAACAGTGTCTCCTCTTCGACAATGTTGACCACATCTTCAGGCAAGTCTTCAACTCGCATCTTAGACAATCCAGGAATGAAATCCAAAAGGGTGTCTCCAGTTGCATGGTTACACTTGTGGCGTAGCAAATCAGTGTAAATATGTGCAGAGAGTGAACATGAGAAAGGAATCCAAACTGGAACCCACGGAACGTTCAAGCGATGAGCCACAATGAGAGAAGGTATGACAAAAGCATCAGCCATAACACAAGTAACTCTCTCTTTTGTGTCTGTCACTGCCATGTCTATGCCCTTTTGCAAGTTCTCCGGACAAGCCTTAAGAAAAAGGTCCACTCGCTCAACTGGGTGGCCACCTGGGACATGACCCTCTGGGATTCCATCGCTTATACTATAGAACTTGATGTTGTCCGGGATATGGGGTTTTGAGATGAGAAGAGGTTTGTTGGAGTGATCAGTGCCTATAAATGAGAATTGCAGGTTGGGAGCAGCATTGGCTAGCTTCAGCACCAGGTTCAAGAGAGTAGCAGGGTGGCTTTCCAAAGGGGAAAGCAAACACTGCAACATGTTTCTTCTCTTGTGAGTTTGCCATAATTTGGTGTGGTTTGAGCTTTGAGATTTGGAGTTTGGTTAGTTTAGCTACTAGGAGTAAGGTGGTGTGTCAACACTTAAATATTCTTCCGCAGATTCCACCGACAATTGCTGCACCGTGGACCTCTATGATTATAAATTATTGCAAAGTTATTGTTTGGGACAGACACTGATGAACAATTTGTTACAAATGAGATTTACAAAAAAGTGTGGTTTAATGCTTTTGATGAAATATGAATGTTAATTAAGCATGGACGAATCGATCCTAAGTATATTGATGAAGTAAGCATGTACCATAAATTTAATGATTGTAGTCTTTTGTATACACAATCTATAAATTCAAATTTCCATTTTTTTCACCAAGTTTTTGGAGTTTAAAATTCTGAATGAATTTATCTTAAAATATTATTTAACTATCTTTCTCTAAAATTATTAGAAAAACATAATATTAGTTACTTAAACTTATTCAAATAATAAAAAAATTAAAATAGTAAATTATTTTTAATTTCATCTCTTGATTTACAAGGACCTAAATAAAGGGATAAAAAAATGTTAACTTAAGAAAAATGATTAAACACATTATTTTTAAATTTAAAGGACTAAAAAAATATTTTAAAATATAGAAAAGTTAAATAAATTTGATTTAAAGCAAAAGATTAAAAGATATTTAAAAAAATAAATAATTTTCCATATCAGTTATTATTATTGCATAAATATTATTAGTTATATTAATACCGAATATAACATGGTTAATATAAAAAAATCAATAGCATTTTCTTAAATCCATTAATTTGAAAAGAAATATTTGAAGAACTAAAAGAAAAAATAAATAAAAATATTCAAGTTGAAACACAAGATGTGACGTACATTTATCATCGGTACGTTTAGTATGTCACGTTCATCAATCCTGTACTCATTACCAGTACGGATTTACTTCACATATTCATATACGAACAAAAAAAAGTATTTTTGATAACTTTTTTTATAACTATCTCTTAAACAACTCCATTTAATAATATAATACTAATTTTAAATTAATTTTATTTTAATTAATTTTTAAAATAATAAAAAATTATGTTGTTTAATGAATATTTATGTTTTTCACTTGTCTATATATCATACATAAAGAACCCATGATTATATTTGTGAATATAATATTTTTTTATCTTTAATCACCGTATATAATTTCAATTGCTTTATTTTTTCAATATAGCATCAACTAAAAAATTAAATAAAAAATATAAATAATTATGTATTTGATTAAAAAATAAAAAAGTGATAATTTATAATTAATGATAAAGTTAGTATTTCAAAATTTAATTTACGTAACTTGACTAATGTTATTATTGAATTTTTTTACATATTTTCTTTTCAACTTTCTTATTCTTCCATTCATATTTTTTTATGATATTAAGACGAGTTGGACCAGGAAAGAATATATGGTATTTGAATGTAACCTTGTTTTGGGCTGAATACAAGGTCCAACTCAAGTATGAAGTTACATCAGTCACTTTTCGGCTATTGCTTCTCTTATCAGATGTCGACAAATATCTATGACAATAAATTGGGAATTATTAATAATATATTAAATTTAAATATTATTAGTTAAGTTCTTAATTAAGGTTTATTCACATTTATTCATTGTATTTTTTAATCAATATGAGAAGTGACATGTGTGATTGTAGTTATATCATTAAAAAAAACAATATTTTATTTTTATTGCCAAGGTGTACTAAATATAATTCTATAAAATGGAGACAAAATGAATATAGTATCAGTCTTGTTCGATTTATCATGATTATGCCAACTACACCTTTTAACTTAGCATACAGTATTATGATTCATTCATCGAACATTTTTATTGAGTCAATTTAATTAAAATATATAATTAAATTTAATTTATTAATATTTATAATTTAAAATATAAAATTATAATATATTTATATATTTTAATAATATATTATAAAAATAAATTTTTAAATTGTAATTTTTTATTTATATATATATATATATATATATATATATATATATATATTAAAAGATAGGTTAATCCGATTATCTGTTTTTCAATACTAAACTAAAACTATTAATTTAACAGAGTTGATAGATTAGTCGCTCTAATTAACTTTATTATCCTTTATAAATTTTTTTCTAAAAAATAATATAAAAATATATTTTAAATCTTAAATATTAAAAAGATATTTTTAAATGTGAATTTTAAAATTAAAGCTTCTTAGTCAATTCATCTCAAATAAAAAATAGTTGGGAATAATTATTGTAACAAAATTATTTCTATTAATAAATTTTTAAAAGTTATTTATTCTATTATTACTTAACTTTTGGATAGGTTCATAATAAAAATTTTCATAAGAATCTTTAAGAGAAAAAATATGGATAAAAATTATATTAATTTTTTATAATTTTAATTTATACCAAAATTAATTTCATTTTTGCTCATTTGTTTTTATAGAAGTCCCTAATGAGAATGATCCAAATAGAACCCTAACATGATGTTTAAATATATTTTCTCAATGTCACTTTTTTTTTCCTAACAAATGTTATTTTTTGCTTTTAGCTCCTATAAATGTATTATTTTTAATTTTAATATTTACAAATATTGCTACCTCTCTTCTCGTCTATAAGAGAAAAAAAAACAACTTTAAAAAATATATAAAGGTAGGTAGTTAAGTGCATTTATTTTTAATATTCATCCTAAAATATCATGATTGTAAAATAAAAATTACATATATATAATAATGTAACTAAAATCTATTAAATAAAATAAAAATAATTAACATTTATTTATATTTAAAAATGTGAATTTCTTACAAATATTTTATTTAGTCTTGTGACATGTTATTTTGACCCGATCATATGAATATGCTTGATTTAATAATTTTATAGATGTGATGTATTACAATACATTAAGTTTAACGAAAAAAATTAGCAATGAATATATAAAAAAGTAATTTATATTTTTCTAGAAGAAAAAAACAATTTAATCTAAGAATCCATTATGATGAGAGTGAGAAACAATATAAAAATTGTGAAATTAAACACTGACATTATTCTCTTTACACTATAATTTTTTACATGGAACTGGTCATTTAAGTCTCATTATTTTTCTCTCACATTCCCTAACATTTCACTGTATGAAACAAATAAAAACAAAGCATCGAGGTTAAGGAATATAAAACACCCTTTCACATAAAATAATTGAATAATAAAAGCCACTGGGACATGACCCTCTGGATTCCATGCTTATACTATAGAACTTGATGGTGTCTGGGATATGGGGTTTGGAGTTGAGAAGAGGTTTGTTGGAGTGATCAGTGCCTATAAATGAGAATTGCATGTTGGGAGCAGCATGAGCTAGCTTCAGCACCAGGTTGAAGAGAGGAGTAGGGTGACTTCCAAAGGGGAAAGCAAACACTGCAACATGTTTCTTCTTTGTGAGTTTGCCATAAGTTGGTGTGTTTGTATAGAATTTGTGCTCTTGGTTAGTTTAACTAAGAATTTTCGATTATAGATAATGTGTTTTTACAGAATTTGTGTACCGTTGTTAGAATATCTTTTGATTTTTTTTTTCTCTGAGTTATTGTTTTACATCCTCTTTATATTAATATTGATATAAAAGTTTGATGAAAAAAAGAAAAAGAAAAAGAATAGGACGACAATAATTAGGTCTCAACATGTAGTAATATTATTTAATATTTAAAATTTGAATAAGTACGACACGTGACTAGTGAAAATGAATGTCAATTTTTTATTTTCAAGAAGTTTTAGATGTAATTTTTTTAAGAAATATATAAATATGCTTAAATAATATCAAATTTAAGATTAAAAAATAAAAAAATTATATGTAAAATCAATTATTAAATTATAGATTTTATTAGATAATAATTAAATAATTATAATATAATAATTATTTTAATTAAATTTGTTAACCTAACCCATCTCTGTTTCTATTATTATAAATATTTATTTTTACAGTCTCTTTTGTCTTTTATTAGTATTTTAGTCATCATTTTTCTAATACAACTCAATCGAAAATAATGATTAGAGTTATATATACTTTAGACCTATAACTTATTGTCAATTTATATGATAATTTTTATTAAACTTTCCGTTAATTTGATATCACAGGGTTATGAAATGATCTTTTATTAAATGAACTTACAATTTTTGTTCAATGCACGTATAATTAGACATGATATTTTATAAAATTAAATTTTATTGTAATTAAAATTACATATTAATATATACACATAAAAATAATTATATTTTTAATAATGACAATTAAAAATGTAATTAAATAATTAATATTATGTAAAAACAAATACAACTTTTTAATTATATTAAGTATAAATGTTTGAAAAAAATAACATATGTGGATGTTACCCAAATTCTGTAATGGCCAAATTGTGTTGGAATTTGAGATCCGGATCTTAACGAGTAATTAACACCGCCAGTACTTTCAACGCGCGAACATTTTTTATTCTTATGGAACCATAATTTCGTATGTATTCAACACAGGGAAATTAACTCAACACAGGAATCTTCTAATTCCTTTTTTGGTTTCTGAATTTTAGAAAATATTTCTCTTACTTTTAGACTTTGCTTTGATACTGTTATATTTGTTGTTGATGTAATAAACTATATTCACATAAAATAATGACATCAGAATATATTTTTAAAATTTATTGGTTGAAATCATTTTTTATTTTTTTAAATTTGGATAGAATATTATTTTAGTTCTCAAAATCTAAAAACAATTATTGTTAATTCCTTAAATTTAAAAATGATTTTCAATGTCCTCCAAATTTAAAAGTATGTTTTAGTCCTTAATTCAAGAGTATTTCTTAAGTTTTTTAATTTAAAAACAATTTATTTTAATTTTCAAAGTTCACGTTGTTAATTATTTTTTTAATTTGAGTGACTAAAAAAATATTTAATTTTAAACAAATTTCTTCAAT